GGTTAGAATTCTTCCGCAAGCTGGTACCGAAAGGAGGGGGAGCAGGGGGTAAGCGTGGAGGTTTAGCCTCCAGAAGAACGGACAGGCTGGAGAGGTGGCAGTGTACTGACAGCACTGTGGCGCAGGGCGTTCTTTATCGAAAGTGGTGAAGGGGCTAGGCTGCATGGAATAGAAATATTTTGGAGTTTAGCGTGTGGGTTACGACCATTGTTTTAGCGGCTTGCAGCTCATTGGCTCGCTGGTTTACATCCATGAAGGGATTTAGTCCCTGTGGCTTTCAGCAAGTAATCATGTTGGCTAATTTGCTCTGCAGCATGCTTGCGCACGGAGTGAAGTATGAAAATTATGCTGGTATTGGGCAATGCTGGGCTATTTCAGTCGTCCCAGCCATGGCACACACTGAAAACGGCACGTACGCAGAAACGGATATAAACGCCCTCCCCATCTCTACCCCCACTACAACTCATGCAGTGGCTTTCTTAAACCGGGGAGGTTTATAAATAAAATGGCATCAAATAAGCTATTCACAAATAAAATTAATTGTTTTGTATGTGTCGTATGATTTTTGCAAAAGCCTATTGAAATCAGGGAGGTTTTTTTGGTGGACCCGTTATATGCCGGAATAATAACTATTCTTTTTACAATTCATTCAGACATGTTCATTGTTCATTTACAATCCGCATTTAAGACACACTTGATTGTGCTATCATTTCGATACGTTGTTGTCGTTTGTTTTCATTGTAAAGTGCAAAATACACTAGGAAATTACTGAATTAAATACAATCCACCCAATGATATTGATATTTTGGCTTTTACTTGGTACACGTATTCATAAGGACCTAACGGTGATGTTTAGCTCGTGAATTTTTTTTTTTCCATTTCACCTTCATTCTTGAATTATACGGTAATTCCGGCCGAAATTTGCAGTAATCAAGAAATTTATTTTAAACTATTGAACAGATTTGAACGAAACTTTGAATGTACAAAGCTAACCTTCCAACGGTGATGTTTAGCTCGTGACAATTTTTTGCGATTTTGCCTCCGTTCGCGAGTTATACGGATATATGGAGAAACGACCGGCGTGTCTGAGGCCGATTTTTAAATTTGCATTGACAAAGGGCCGTATACGTGTAGCCGTATAACTCGCAAACGAAGGCAAATCACACAATTGTCATAAGCTAAACGTCAACGTTGGGAGGTTAGCTTTGTACATTCAAAGTTTCGTTCAAATCTGTTCAGTAGCTTAGAAGGAATTTTTTGGTCACTGCAAATTCTGGCCCAAATTGTTCTATAACTCGCGAATGAAGGCGATACGGAAAATTTTTTCTGGAGCTTAACATCATCGCTAGGTCCTAATGAATACGTTACCAAGTTTCATCGAACTACACGTATTAGTTTGGGATATATTCCTTGGTCTTTGTATTTGGAGATTGGCCGTGAGACCGGCTGTAAATTTGTCCGACACCTCTGGACCTCTCTAGGCCACGCCGTCTAGCTGCCGAAGAGGCTCTTGCCGTAATTCGGGGCTCAATTCAATTTAAGCGAAATCTTCAGTGTTTCTTAGTCTAGGAAGTTTGCCTTTACGATTTACTTTGCATAGGTAATTGACCAAGGTAGTTGTTAAATGCCTATTGCATATAATTTGGTGGCCGGCAGGATATGTCGGGAACCTGATGTGGTCCCGACCGTAACTTACGGGATCATCCCGTAACGTGTATATGGCAATTTAACGTGGGATCGCCTTACCTGTCTCCAGTCAGTCAATCATTGGCAAGCGCAAGGGGCAGAACGCACTTCAGGTCTGCTTTGACTAGTGTCAATGTTTGTCTCTCATCATATGAATAAGTTTTTCATACCTGTCAACGAGATGAAGAACCTTGTTAAAATCTACTGCACTATCATTTGCGGTCCATCCGCCACATATTCCCTCTATTTTGACTAGGGTGCGTTCTTCCTCAGTTTCAGCCAAGGAAGGATCGGTAATCCTGAACTTTTGCTCTAGATTATTTAATTGCACGGTACAAGGACGTATGCACTGCTAACAGCGTATCGAATGCATCGTCTAGTTGGTAACTGTTGCTTCCCTGTCTGGAAAGCAATTTGAAGTCCAATTTCCGAGAACTCTTTCATTCCTTCGTCAAGGAAAGTTTTAACAGTGCAAGGAAATCTGTTCCGAATCATCTGAGAATTTATACTAACTATGAATTGCGCCTGAGAAATACGAACGTTGCGAGTCTACGTCAATAACCATTCGTACGGAGATATGCAGGTATACGTTAACGGTTAACGCTAGCTTGAGGCGCTGAAGCACTGAATTTTGGGCACAGTGCTAAAATAAATCTACTGTCATTTAACTGTGCATACTTCGAACTAGTGCGGTGAAGTCATATTTTAAACTCTTCACATCGATCAACGCGTGCTTGATGCGTAGGGTCAAGCGTACACTTAAGCATGGGAATGCAGCCGTGCACCAACAAATATTGTGCGCTAATCAGCCCTGAATAGAACGGCTATCGCATTTCCGTAAGGCCACCTGTAAGCTGCGTATTCAGCCTGCCGTCAGTAACCAGCCCATCAGATCATATTGTTCTATATATCAAGAGCTAATCGCCACCATATACTGAAACGAATAGCCCGGAGTGTATTGATCGACCACCACTGAGCGTTTCATCAAATCTTTACTTCATACCCTGACTTTGCCTCGAACTGTAGCCAGCGGACAACGTACCGCAATCAATCGGCCTATCTTGCCAGTGAAACTGCTTGAATCCTGCCGTGGACCATCAAACGGTCACTTTTAGCTCACAGCATCTGGGGTTATGTTACAGATGGCCTAGTTCTGTTTCAAAATCTATCTTCCTTCGATGAGCCCCCGTTCGACCGTAGGCTGATTAGATGCAAATGATGAATACAGACGGGTTACTGGCGGTCCACCAATTTACTGCAAAGCCCCAACGCGCGGTCAGCGGTGTCAAAGAGTGGTGCAGAATGTTTTCGCGCACTGGGCTCAACTATTGCAGGTTGTCCTCCTGTGGGCTGATTGGTCTACTTCAATGGGTGTTATCTGTTTAGTGGCTGTGGCTGATGACGTTACAGTCAAGAAGTTTATAGGCTACGTTCTTGAGAGAACAAATCATGAAAGTTTAGGCAAAACACAGCAGTGGTGGCATTCGACAGGGATCCCGAAGCATGCTGTGTGCGATGCTAGAGCAAAACTTGACGCGCGCTTCAAGTTGGCTGATGCATGGGCACTGTTACTGAATATCTGTAGAGGTTTGTATTCAAGTGGTTTTTTGTTAGTCTTCAGATCTCTACGACGGCTGCTGAGAAGTTTGCTACTAGCAGCTTCGAAGACAGGAGTAGAAGGTTCGGGCTTATCATGCGTAACTCGTAAGGCAAGAGTTTGAATGGAAGTCGCATATTTGTTATTAAGAGTACAATAGTTGCAACCCAACTTTCTGGCGAGCTCCTGCTTGAACGCTGAAGGCAACTTTGAAAATACTAGCGAGCTCACAATGGTTAGTGCGGACATCTCCACGGGTACCCCACAGTCGTAAACTTTCAATCCGGCAATAATGCTTTTATTCGACGATATGAAAAGCCTGGTCTCGTGAAACGAAGAAACATTTCAATTCAAATAATTTATTACACCGCTAATCAATCGGACTATCTATATTAAGAAATTCCTTTTCAGGACGGTTTTGATCTTCGAAAGGGCCCCGAGTTTCAATCACATTCCCGTTTACTGAGCAAGATTCAAAGTGATTGCTTTTTGTACAAAAGGTGAAGAAAAACGTTGCTGCTCCGCAACAGCCTTCTTGTTGTTAGCGATTAATGCTAATGTTTTCGCAACGATCTGTATTTTCTTTGCATTAGACGCCAACCTGTCAACACGAATAAAATTGCATTTAAAATTTATAGATTGAAAAAATTGTGGGTCATTTGAAAGCAGGTTTAATGGCAGGCAAAATATTTCGTTCAACTTATGGATAATTACAAGCACGTGATCCGTTTCGTCTCGTCTATAGCCACATTGTCTGGCACGTCGTACACTGGGAGTAAGAATCGCGCAGGATGGAAGAACTCTTACTCGTTAATACCGAACGTCATACAAAATTACTCTCTGCTCATCTGGCAGCGGTTCGTCGTCGACGAGAATTACAGGTAGCGAACCTCTGCCACATCTCCGACAAGTAATGTTCCCGTTCTAAAACGTCTGCCCTTATGCTACGCCAGAAATTATTCTTTCGACAATCTTGGTGTTCAAAGGTTACGGAAAAAATCTAATTTTTATGCACTTTTCAATCAAACGTCGAAGTATTCTGTACAAGAACCCACAAAAATGTACCTCTTGTCTGAGACAATCTATCTAGAATTCCTTCGATCTGTAATTAATTTGCCGCGCTTGGTCCGCAAAATCTATGGTTCTTGAGGTTTCGGGCAGGCAGTTGTGGGCAGGCGATATGCAGGCCATCGTCAAACAACGAGAACGGCCGCCAATCGAGTCTGCAGAAATTAAATGTGTTGTGAAGAACAATGACAAGAATATATAAAAAATACAAATTTTAAACTTTGTAAAATTAATCAGACTATTCAAGACATTTAATTACTATGTACGTGAATGTCTAAGGTACTATGTTACAAGACGAGTAAAAATTATCTGTAACACAGCATCAAGTTCGTTCCTAAATAAAGACAATTCCGACCTTGACCTATGAAGGCTATTCACAATAAAGTCTGACCTTTTAGTAGGTGAGTGAGTTTCGAATCCCTGTATGGGATACTCTCGAGCTTCGCTGCGTGGGCCCTGACGACTTGTCCCAAAGCTAGAAGACCCATGTTGATGCTGATGGCTTCCTTTCGCTGCTTCTCGTCCGCGCCCGTTTCTTTTACGCACTCGCTGCCTGCGAGGTCGACGAACTGGAACTTGGTGCACACAATTTGGTCCCTGAAAATTACAGCCACTCGGCATTCATGCAGAATTTTTATGCGATTTGCAGGAAAAACTTAAAGAATAATGAAGTTATAGTTATGGCAAGATCTGGTTCATAAGGCTGGATCCCTTATGCTGCAAAGAATTTACACAATCGAAGAATTTTAAGGTTTATTCAACGAACGAACGAACGAACTGTAAATTTCAAGGCTCATATGAAACAAAGGTCAGTATGAATCAAAAAGTTATAAGTTTCATTTAAAAACAGGTTTAATGGCAGGCAAAATATTTCGTTCAACTTATGGATAATTGCAACCACGTGACTCGCTTCATTTCGGGTATTGCCTTCTCGTCCCGGGCCACTCTATAACATCGTTGACGAAGATGCGCAGAATGGGAAACGTGGTTCCAGCCTCCCGCCTATTGCCTCTCTGCAGGAGTAATGAACCTTTAAGAGAGGATCTCGGTTATCACCTGCGAAATTTGCAGATCCCTGCCAGCAAGATCCGAGCGCAGGTCAGCCTCGGCAGCCAGCAGAGAGGCCAGGGAAGCTTCATTTCTCTCCACCTGTCTGCAAATTAATTAATTCTAAACCGAGCAGCGTAATCATATTTGAATTTGTCTAAGTTTGTGTTTGAGGAATTCTGGTACGATTTTCGATAAGGGATATAATAAATATTAGCCATTGATTTATTTTCCAACGGCAAAGGCAATATTGACGAATATTTTTGAAAATTTAGCGAAAAGATGCCAGCAGAAATGTCTAATCGAATACTTTGAGAAAACTGCTTCTGAGCCTGGTCCAAGTGACATAGATATTAGGAAGAAAAATTTGTTCATTCTTGTGGATATTCCAACCAAGAAGAATCATAATCCAGCTGACAGCTTTTATACCCCTGGAAGGCAAAATAAATAGTTCAATTTACTTCCCTCGGACATCCGGTCCAAGGAAGAAGCCCGCAGCGGATTTTAGCTTCTTTATTACAGAGCTCGCCGGGGCATGTGCTCAGAGGTTAATTGACGCTGCTCTGCGTGTGGCGAGATCGTCTCTAATTTGGACATTTCTGCTCTATCGCTTCTCTATATGTCTACTCTATGGGCGGCGAAGGCCGGCTCTATTACCTGCCTAAATTTTAACTTGGTAAGGTGTAAACCCGAAAAACGCATTAACATTACGAAGTCCTTTCTACGTGAGCAAACGAACAAAACAGGATTAATCCGAACATATTAATAAATTTAAAAAATGCTTCTGCAATTTTTAAACCATCGCTATTTGGAACTTACCGAGGGTGGGAGCACGAAGCCAGAGGCTGTTTTTGGGAAAACGGAAGGGGAATGTAAAGCATGCCGAACGAATTAGAATTACGAGGTAAGTTCTTAGTCTCCGGGCTTCGGGTTTAAAGAATACCGGCACATACATATCCCAAAACTATCATATTACCAAGACAAACTGTTAGAACGAATTCAAATTTATTAGTTCTATTCGATTTACCTGTCATCGATATGAGGAATATTCACAGTGATTACATTGCTTACGATATGCCCTATACTGAGTTTCAAAACTGTGTAATGAAACGTATAAAGTACCGTAAAGTTTTGAGTTATTATAAATGGGTTGCCTTTCAACTATGCTAAGATAGTGAATCGAGTTTGAAACTATATGTCCCCATTTCTTGAGCGATGTTATAAGTCAAAACACAAATAAAAAGAAATGAAACGTTACCGAATAAAATGTGCGCCAAAAAATTCAATTTTAAGTCTTCTCTACCATTATTGAAGATACTTGAATTAAAAAATATTATGTATATTTATACATTAAAAACAATTATAGCTAGTTTCTTTGCATTTTGAAACCAGGCGCTGTTATCCCGCGTCTCCAGGTTAGTTAAGGCTCCGATTGAGAACCGCGAGGCTTCGAACAGACTCTGCTCTTCCCTAGGAGCTTCTTCACAAATTAGGCTGGACTTAACTCCACTCATAAATGAGATGGCGATGCGATTTTTTCCATACTTACCCAGCTAATTATCTACAATCTGAGGATAGTAATAAAAAATATAGGTAAACTTTATGAAAAGAGTTATGATGCAAGGAAATTTCAAGAAACTTTCAAGAACATATAGAAACTTTCAAGAATATATAAGTTCATCAAGTCTGCGACTTTTACTCTTTTTAGCGTATGTTCTCATTTATGGAAAAAGGCGCTATTAGAATAGAATAGAAGTGTCGGCACTGAAGAAATAGGCCCATGGCCTGTTGCCGATTCATGAATTTTTCGTGACTTGATTCACAAGGGATCCGGACTTTGGAACCCGATCTTTCCATAACTGACGATTGATTGAGATAGCAGCTGGACTTATTGACTGGACCGTAATTTGCCAGGCATTTTGAGACTGAACATATGCTCCTGCATAGCTTCGTCTAGTCTGTTCTTGAAGGCGTTCATACTCGGAGCGTCAACAATATCTAATCAGGGAGGCTGTTCCACATGTCGGTGACTCGAAGCGAGAAGAAATGTTGTCGCGTGGATAAGTTGCACCGCAGTTTTTTTAGTTTATAGCTGTTGCCCCTGGTGTTGGTTCTTGTTTCAAATTCTAGTAATCCTTTTGGGACCTTTCACAAACCATGAGCATACTTGTATACTTCAATGAGGTCACCACGCAGGCGACGATAACGGAGACTGGGAAGCTTCATAATCTTCAATCTTTCTNGCCTCGTTGCCCTCGTAAGAATTAGCTAAGCTGCTAGCTATGTACAATGTATTGCAACACTAGCTGCCTCTGTTAGGCTCTGTACCAAAAAACATACAATTCATTGGAACCTAATACGGTACACATTAAAGGCAACAAGTTTATATTCCAATTTGTCATAGTACATTATACTAAACAATGAATAGGTAACAATGCCTCAAAATAAATTAAAGACTGTCACTCAATATATTTAAATGTATAAAAAATTGAAAAAATAAAAAAGAATCATGATTTTTTGTTGTGTTATAATGTGTTGTGTAGTGACATGTTGTATTATAATGGTTTATTTGTTGTGCTGTGCTTTGATGTGTTAGAATGTGTTGTACTATGTTATGCTGTCATAATTTTTTGTTGTGTTATATTGTGTGATATGTTATATTACATTACAATTTGCTGTATCATTTATTTTATGCTACAATTTTTATGTTATTATGTGTTATGGTATGATGTGTTGTGTAATATTATCATTCATGGTGTTATAATGGGTTACACTGTGTTGTGTGATGACCTTAAGATCCCCTGGCCCTGGGTAACACACCCAGAGTGTGTAGGGACACACACCCAAGGTCATACTGAAAGCACCACCTTTCTGACGGTGACCATGCACCATCCAATATATTATCATGTTCTGTTATATTATCATATAATGTGTTTTGTTATGTTATTTTGTGTTATAATGTTATCAATAATATATAACATAACATTACACATTGTAACACAACATAACAACCAGACCTCACACTATAAACACAACATTATAATGCAACACATTATGACAACAAAACACATTATAATTCTTAAAAAAATTAGTAAGTATTATAAAGCATTAGAATGCATTTGAACAGATTTGAACTCATTAAAACACATTAGGGCACATTAGAACACATTAGGGCACATTAGAACACATTGGAAAATATTAGAGCATTTTATAAGGTACTACACCGAATTATAATGCAACAGAAACTATTAGAATGCATTAGAACACAATAAAAACCATTAAAAAGCAGTAACACATATTAGAATGCACTAGATTGCATTACAATGCACAAGATTGCATAAGAATGTATTAGTATGCACTACACACTCAAGATCACATTAGAATGCACTAAATGCATGGAATGCCCCTTATCGCATCAGAACTCCCTTTTTTTATTGCATCAAACTCAGAAAAACACATTAAAATGCACAAAATTGCATTATAACGCAGTAGAGTGCATAAGAATGCACTAGATCAAAATAAAACACACTAGAACTCAATGTTATCAGGGTGCATACTGGTCATGGAAAACCTGGAAAGTCATGAAATTAGATTTTTCATTTTCTAGGCATGGAAAGTCATTGGATTTCATTAAGGTCATGGAAAGTCATGGAACAAAAGGCATTTTGATTTCCCTCAATAAGGTTGATGTTAGTTACATGGCCAGGACCATGATGAAAAAACAGCTTGCAGGCCATAGTCCAAAAGCTACTGGACAAGAGCCCTATCAGGTATGGCCTTGGTAGAAACCTCAAACCTGAGATGGCTGGTGCCAAAAGTCTTCATCAAGAAGGACTGTAAGGATGCCAGCAAGACCCAGTTGAAAAACTGTCTCACTTTGCTTGATGCCAAGAGATTCCCTAACACAGATATGGATGGTGTTGTGCAATGAGATGTGCAACTTTAGACATGTATCACAACATTGCAGTGAGCTGAGTGCACAGTTTCAAGCATTGGCCCGTATGCTAAATGGGGCACTAGCACTACGAAGTAGCACTACGCACTACAAGCCGTAGTGCGGTACTAGTGCGACATGGAACACTACGGTTGGCATGCTAAATAGGGCACTAGCACTTTGAAGTAGCACTACGCACTACAAGCCATAGTGCGGCATGGAACACTACGGTTGGTATGCTAAATAGGGCCAAAAGCATAACGCGCACTACAAAAATCTGAAGTGTCCTACACACCGCACTTCACGACGACACTACGGTATATTTAACCTTGTTTACTTTGTCAGCTATGGATCTATTTGGCTTACAGCAAAGGCTTCATCGCGTAAAAACCTAGGGAACAGCATGCCATGAATATAAAAAAGTGTACTGCTTCAGTGAACAACATGTTATTCTTATGGCTGACATTTTCCTTGGCGAAACAGAAGAACAGCGTAGAAGTAAAGATACTTTTCTTGTTTTTGATACCATGTTTTGAATTTTATTTTGTGTTTTTTTTTTCTGGAGTCATTTTGAATTCTTCTGCAAGAACTTTCCATGCTTCTCTCTTTTGTTCGATGTCTTTGGTAAGCGTGGACTTTGAATATATGATGGGAAAGGTGCGCAGACGCATTGCGAATTTCAGCTCACCATCACAATTTTCATTAGTACCATTACCATCACAATTAAACATTTTACATCAATCTTCTGCAAAGAATGAGAATTACTTAAGGAATAATTAATTATTTGAGCACTTAACTACCATTCTTCAATAGACTCATAGACTCATAGCGTAGTGCGGCACTATAAAGTACTCTAACAGCGAAGTAGCACTTCAAAGTCTTTTTGCATACGAATCAGTAGTGCGACACTAAGCGACACTAAACATTGTAGAGCTACTTCGAAGTGCTTAGTGTCTGTGACGTATTTAGCATACCAACAGGACACTTCGTAGTGCATAGTGCTACTTCGTAGTGCTAGTGCCCTATTTAGCATACGGGCCATTTTCAACTTCTGATCAACTGGACACTTTTTGGCATGTCATTCTGTCAAAGAGCACCTACAAGAAGCTCTGGATTGTAGTGCAGATGCTCCTGCACCTGTCTCATGGCCAAGCCACGGTGGAAAGAGGGTTTTTGTTCAACAAGGAAATCATGACGCACAACATTGAAGAGCAAATGGTGGTTGCCCTGCGTGCTGTGGTTGATCATGTTGCACATGTTGGTGGCCTGGATGAGATGACCATCACCAAGAAAAGGCTGCTTGCAGCTGGCGGTGCCAAAACAGCCTATAATACTTATTTGGCAGAAGAGAAAGAGCAGAATACAAAGGCCCAGAAACCCCAGAAGAGGAAGGCTTTGTTGGATGGGCTAGATGAACTGAAGAAGAAAAGGCATGCGGAGGAGGGCATCAAGGCGCTTGAGCAAGCAGCAGATGAATATGCAGATGCAATGGATAGAAAGTGGGATTTGAAAATTATTGCAAAGTTCAACGCCATGAGGCAATCTTTGAAAGCAAAGCAACAGGAGCTAGACACTCCTGAAGTGAGTATTAAAGAAAAAGTTGATGAAATATCTGCCAGTTGAATGTTAGGGTACTGGTGTTGAAGAGTGTTCTAAACAGTATTGATCAGACATCATCATGTACAATCTTTTGTACATTACTCAATATTTGTTGTGATTTGTCACTTTCAAATTCATAATAATACCTGTGTGAGCTTGATTTTCAGATGTGTCATTTTTCTTCCTGTGTCTGCCTGATCTATGCATTTACACATTTGCTAGTATTTATCAACTGTAGGAGATGATAGAATATGTACAGTGAGTCTTTCAGTCATGCTAAACCTGTCATATATGAGTGTTGGAAAATTATATTGATGGTCATGGAAAAGTCATGGATTTTTATATTAATACCAAATGCACCCAGTGCTATGCACAAGATTGCATTAGAACTCATTAGAACCCACTAGATAGCATTAGAATGCAGTAGAGTGTATTAAAACGCAGTATAACGTGCTAGATTGCACTGGAATGCGCTAGATCGCAATAGAACAAACTAAAACGCACAAGTAAACACTAAAACCCTTTAAAAGGTATTAGAACACATCAAAACACATTGGAACAGACTAGATTGCATTAGTATGCACTGGATTGCACTAGATATTGCACCAGGCCATAAAATTCTCAATATAGCAATATAGAGTGGCTTAGAAAACAGTTAAATGCAGTAAAATGCAATAAAACACATAACGAGATTGCATTACAATGTATAAAAATGCACTAGATTACTTTAGATTGCATTATTATGCAGTAGATCGCATTTGAACGTAATAAAGCAAATTAGAATGCAATAGAGCGCTAGAGCGCATTAGAAAGCAGTAGAGCACATTAGAACTCAGTTGAATGCATTAAATTGCAGTATAACGCAGTAGAAGGCATTATATTGCATAAAAACGCAGTAGAGCGCACTAGAGCAAATTAGTATGTACTAGAAGGCATCAGAATTAGAAAGCACGTTGGTCAAATATGAGGTTTTTCAGTAGCAAGCCAGATGCAAATCTATGGCGGGTGTGTATGCCAATAATATTTTTTTAGCTCCTTGTAAGCCATGTTGTACGCCAGTACAAGGGCTTGGAGCCTCATGTACGAAGGATTAATCTGCGGAAAACGGCACCATCCTGGGTATGGCTTTCATGTAGCCACATCATCTGTAGTGTAGTGTAAATTATAATTATTTATATCCTTTGGCTCAATTGTTTTGCAGGGATGTTTACTTGTTAACCTAAGCCTAGGTTTGAGTGGAAAATTTCAATTAATTCTCAATAAGAATTATCTAATCTGCTGAATAATCAATGCAAATATTCAATGATGGATGCTATTCTGGCTGCTAATCTAATCTGCTGAATAATCAATGCAAAAATTCAATGATGGATGCTATTCTGGCTGCATGTGTTGGCCTTGGCCTTACATTGTCTCTGTTAACTCTGAAACCAAGACGAACTACACCACGCTGGCCTCCCATTCAAGCATGCTATGAATTGAATGGTAAGTAGTTCAAACTTGACTATGTTAAATACTCGTGGGTGGCAATGTGTGCTATCAAGAACAACTTGCTATAGTTCTATAATAGTTCATTCACAAGTTGCGCACTGTGATGGAAGATGTTGCCATTACATAATTTCAATTGAATAATTGGAGCCCATAAGTTGTTGCCATCTATAAAAGATAGAGTTTAAAATTTCTGTCCAATATTATTGTATTTATGCATCAAATTCTATCTTTTATTTTTAATATTTGCTTTACCCCACATGTTCTTGATGTGTTCTTTCTAAATCAAATTGAGAGTTGATTGACTATTGCACCTTTTTCCCACTAGAGGATCAAATTTGTGGTGGCACCAGTGATGCTTCAGATGACAACCTCAGTGCATGTACTCATGCACCTGCGTCAGCTGGAGCAACAAGAGTTGTGTGCACAACTTGTCTAACCAGAGATGCACAACCTCAACCTTACTCTGAAATCAGTACAGCCAATTCTGATGCAGCAAACTGCATTTCAGAAGATCATGCTTTGAAGAAATCTCTGCTGCAACAATCTCGGAAGCGAAGAGTCATGTTTGTGACATCTCATCCAGATGATGAGTGCATGTTTTTTGGTCCATCTATTCTACACTTTGCTCAAAATGAAAAAGCCCTGGTGTATCTTCTGTGCCTAACTGATGGTAATAATTTTGTAACACATTCCATTTTTTGGCTATTTTTAAAGTATAACAATTAACATTTATTTGAAGAAGGCTACAGTATATTACAAACCTGAGGCAATATTTACATTTTTGCAAATGCATACAAAATAAATTTAATTTTTAAAACTGGATAACATATATCTTATTTACTATGAATCTTGGATATATAACTTGCTTGCTTATAAAAAATGGATATTTTGTATAATTCATCTACAGGATCATACCAGAATGTTAAACTTGGTAAGAAACGTCAGCAGGAACTGTGGGCAAGCTGCAAAGAACTTGGTATTCCTGAAGGTCACATAACTCTCTACAAGTGAGGCTTGCTTTACTAGTTTCTAATCAAGTTTTCCTTATTTAAAGTTTAACAATTTCTGTACAAAATTACATGTAAAGGTTAAAATTTGTATACTGAGCATTCTTTTATTCTTTTATTGTATACTATTGCACTGCTTTGTCAGTATGGAAACAGTTCATAAAAATGTCAATTTTATTTGTGAATTTCAGAAAAGTTCTAGGCTTCATGAAATGTATAGGTTTGTATATATACTCATAAAAATAAAATGCAATGTTTTCATTAATGTGGTTGTGGGTTATTTGATTTATTATTGTAATGTTATCTTGTTTCTGAATTTTTTTTGCAGATGTCGTCATATTCCCGATGATCCAAACAAAAGCTGGCCCATTGTAACCACGGCCAATATCATTAACCATCATCTCCATGCTCTCAGCTGCGACATGGTCAGTGAACTCTCAGCAGCCTCTTCTAAATACAGTTCAATGTTAGTGTCTGAATTTCAATGTAATTGTAGAGTAATTGTTAATTTAAGGCACTGAATATTGAATGCATTTGCTTTCTTATTCAAGTCAATGCAGATTTCTTTTATTCAAAGACTTGACATTGAGATGAGCTTTGAAAATTTAGTAACTTTGTGGTTTCCTTTATTTATCTTCTCTGCTGGCTGGTGAACTTATTTACATTTAACCATAGTTCTGTTATAAGAAAATTCCAGAGGCAATGAACAACTTCAACTGCTCATAGGTAACAGTTATAAGTATATATGTGTGAACTATTTACATTTAACCATAGTTTTGTCATAAGATTTAAAAATTCCAGAGGCAATGAACAACTTCAACTGCTCATAGGTAACAGTTATAGGCATATATGTGTAAACTATTTACATTTAACCATAGTCCTGTCATAAGAAGAAAAATAAAAAATATGTGAAGAGAGTGTCCTCATGTGCAGGTGATTACTTTTGACAGCCATGGTGTCAGTGGACACATCAACCACCGGTCTCTGTATGCTGCGCTCGTCTACCTCCTCAATGAGAAGCGACTCCCCCACTGTAACCTTTTTTCTTTTTGTAACTTCTTTGATTTTTTTGCTACTTATTACTTGCAAAAGCAGTGTTATTGGTATTATTAAATCTCCAATTATGAACTTTCTCAAAGTGCTTTTGAATTCATTTGCATGAAGTTACATATCTAAATGTTCGATATAACGAGTTTTCTGGGCTTATCTGTGACTTGTGGGAGTTATTCATGCTACTCATAAGGAGATTGAATTTATTTTTTAAAAGTATTTACTTCTATGATTTGAGGATTAATTTAAGTCTCATAGTTAATTCTGATCATTTATATTCCTTGTTGTTACATTCACTCAGTTTTTTCTGGAGTATAAATTTCTTTAAGCAAATTTCACTCTGTAGTTTTCATGAAATCAGGAACTAGTGATTTGTATAAGATCCTCCAAATAGTTAATCAAGATTTTTTATATTGTTTATTCTACTTTTTTTATTTTGGTACCATTTTTAGGTTTTCTATGTAAAGTTTTAATTATGTTTGATAATAGGAAGATTTTTTGTTTTACAGATTGCAGTGCATACACCCTAGACTCCGTGAACCTGGTCCGAAAATACTCGTCAGTGCTGGACATTGCTTGCAGCGCCATTTGTTCTTCTCACGTCATCACTGCCAGCTCTGCACAGTTCTTCACCATTAGAGTAAGTTTGTTATCATGTAACACAATAGCTCTTGATGCTGGCCATTTTAATGCTCTATGTTAACCACTAGAAATAATGTGACGTGATACCATCTGACCTAATTATATTACTCGAATTAATCAATAACCCTGCAAAGGCTGCTCATCATTCGGGACAGTGTGGTAATTTTTCACATATCTTGCTTGGCCAGTTAACTGTTTACTTACTTTGTAACTTGCTTGGCCAGTGGCTGTTTGAGTGGCCGTTGCATTCATTGTAGTTACTGAATCGTTACTGGTCAAGAATGGACTGTGGTTAATCAATTTTCATGTTAAACTTTCAATCATCAGTTAATATTTGGGTTGGTTGTACCTGTCGGACCTAAGCAGTTCATGTCAATATTTATGTACTGTTTAATCATTGAATATTATTTTTTATAAATATTTTTTATTTGTACACGTGCTGTAAGTGAACTACGATGCGAACTCCATAGATATTGCCATCAATATTATTGTTTTGTTTGAACTTATCTGATGGATAATTTGTTAGCTTGTATCATGCCATCCTTATTTTTAATGCAATTAATGTTCTTCTTTTGTTTGAATTTAAATTATGTAAAATTTCACAGCGCGCCATGAAGCTGCATGCAAGTCAGTACGTGTGGTTCCGCAAGCTGTACCTTCTCTTCTCCCGCTACGTCATCGTCAACACGCTCAGCCTGCAGCTGCCCTCGTCTAAACCTTACTCGCCTTTCCTTAAGGCTTAGCCATTAAATTTTAGGCTTTCATAAATTAAATTTTAGGCTTTCATAAATTAAATTTTAGGCTTTCATTACCATTCTCATGGTCTAAACCTTACTCACCTTTCTTTAAGGCTTGGCCATTAAACTGTGGGGCTTTCATATTTAGGCCCTACCGTTCTCATGAATATAATGCCTTCATCCACCTGGCGTTTACAATTATGTTCAAGTTTTGGGCCTTATATTCATGTCATTGTCTTTTAGTTTTATTAGTTTTGCATTATCTGTCAGGACTTCTCTCGCTTGTCGGAAAGTTCCAACAAATCCTTATACCTCTCATTTCATTCCTCACGTCAATGTACCTTCAAGTTTCCTCTTCTATGTCCACAAGAGTTCTCAATGTAGTTATATTCAATATTACGAGCTTTAAATTGTTTATATTGATGTATGTTTTAAAGTAAATTGAATCATGAGTCTAGTGAACGAGTCCAAATTATAAGAAAATTAAAAGATTTCTATCCATGTCAGGTGACAGTCTTGGTGCTGTTTTAAATGCCTTCAGTTATGTTTGTTGTATTGGATTTTATCTCACCTTTGTTGTGTAAATCATATGAATTGTATCGCTTACTGTAGGATCATTGTTTATGTTCTTTTGTATATAAGCCTATGTTTTAGATTTTGCTGCTGTATGATGCCTGGATTAATTAATTTTCTTTTTCGTGCAAATCTCTTGAGTAAGAATTGCTTTTGTATCAAATGTAAAAATAAACTTAGCTTAAATTATAGGTATTCTAATGCTGTAAAAGGTTTCCTGTTATCAAATCAATGCGTTATGGATTGTTTGAACAATTTCCAGATCTGTATTGTCATCTTGTTCGGTCATCCTAAAGACCTACCCTCGCTGAGGGAAAGTTCTGTAGTTTTGTTACTGGAAGAAATGGAAAATTGAGGAATGAATATGGGCTGAGGGATGCGATAAGTATTTCTGTAATATGATCGCGTGTATAGCGGCCTGGCCAGAGCATTGCAAATCGCGTCTATCAGTGAACAAGTGAGGTGCGATTCAGCTTGAATATCCTAACATTTTATTTAAAGCGGTCGAAACTCAGTTAAAAATTTACAAGGAAACTGAGGTGGACTCCTTATATCAGGATTTGTAATTTTGAAACAATTACTTCAACCATCTAAAGTTTGCTCTTCACTTCACAATCTGATTGGAAAAAATGACTGCAATCAACTGTTATGTAAATATATAAATGTGCCACGTCACCAGCAGTTGTGACAGTCCAGCTCATGGAGCTGTGACACCGAAGAACAATTTCCTGATTCAAATCTGGTATGCTATCATCGTTCACGTTCTTTATCACGACTAGACAACTTACGATCAACGTGGTCTTTCAGAGCGCTGGGCATGAGATATATTGCAGTGACTGTGAGGTAGTCTTGCACCCGCTGCAAACTTGGTGCTTCATCAGGAAACATTTTATCTCAACATTATTTTGTTGGAATGCTAAAATGCATGATCTCAATAACATATTTATAAAAGGCTGGTGCAACTAATCCGTGCGATAACACTTTTTCACGCTTTGACGCTCCGCGTATAAACGCATTCAAGAACAAACCAGATGAAGCTATGCAGAGGCATCTGTTTCGACTAGAAGTGCCTCATACCTCACAAATTGTTGGATGTTCAGCAACTAGTTATCTTCAGCGTCAGTTTTGGATGGATCTGGTCAAAAGGCCAGTCCCCAGATCTGTAAAGGACAAGTCAAGCGCATTATAAGGATTGGCGTCGCATGAAATGCTATAAATTTACACATAATTACGTAAACTACTCCTAGCAATTTCTAATATAACGCTGTATTACATATTACTCCTTTTATTCATGTGTTATTGAGTGTAGCTGAGTTGATTTTGAGGCAGACGTTGCAGGTAGAGATTCAGGATTTGCCGAGCTCGTTGCTGATGTCACCGAATAGGTATATATTAGCCCAAAATGAACCGCTACACGAGTTCTAAAGTCGTTTTTATTTCGTTTTTTTGTGAATACCTTGGAAATTGTGAGATTATTATAATGGCAGGTTAACTTTAAACGCAATTATTTTATTATTGTCGTTATTTGTTGGCACTGCATCGAGGGCATTTATTAGCATAAGAGATTTATTTGTTTTATAACTTGTACGTTAACATGTTGACTACGATTGCTTCATCTAGTACTATTATTTCATTTTTTGTACTTTTTTAAGCAGGGTTGCCAGCCGGTCATTTTTTCTGGACAAATTCCGTGATTTAGTTTTTCTCAATTGCGTTGGTCGGCTAAAATTTATGATAGGGGTACTTCCTAATTAAATTTTGAATACTGCAAAAAGAAAATAAATGGAATTTTTATAGCGGAACCTACAAATAAACTAGTATACATTGAATTATCGGCCTTTTTTGTGCTCGGATTTGGCCGATTTTAGGCAACCTGAATTATGCACCACTACCTCCTGGAGAAATAAATTTCGTGGTACGCATATGTACCAATACGTAGTCAACGTGTTAAGTATATAATTTTTTTTTTTAAATAAATTAGCAGCCTAGTATACGATTGGTATTTTTATTTTGAATTAAACAAAACTGTTCACAAGCGAACGATGTTTGCCTGTGCAGGCTTGGTCTAAACCTGATATCAAATTTATTTAACCTTGAATGCCCCGTCAGGGGGGACTTCTGACGCGTGTCTGTGCGCGTCAGAAGTTCTATGGGATCTCGCACTCCTAGGGGGATTGTTCCTGAGCGCCCCACCGTTGAGCTCGCGGTGTCTGACTGCAGGTCTCAGTTGTGGGGTTAAGTTATTATGTAGGTAGGATTCCTTACATTTCCTTCCTCTCACCTCTGTCTCTCTCGTGCGAGCGGCCGACGTCCCGTGTAAGCGACCTCTTGTTCGAGTGTCTTAGTTTCTGTTGCTTTTCACCTGTCCCTCCTTGTCACTTCGTCTCTTTGAGATGCTAACGCTGCTTCTTTCGCGCCAGCTTCAGCGGGCTGGACATGCGAGACCTTCCGCCCCTTGTGGGTGATGATTAACTTGAGATTTTGAATAATTGAGACCTTCCGCCTCTTTGGCGATGTTATATTTTGACCTTCGGTGCGAAATAGCTTGATAGCTGAAGCGCTGGCAAACTATTATACTACTACTTAACCTTGAATGTAAACATGTGTTTACAGAGGAACATTATTATGTTCATCATTCAATTATTCAATTCAATTAATGCCAATTTCAATTATTCGATTCAATTAATGCCACTATTCAATTGATTAATGCCAATAATTTGAATGAGGTATTCAAATGTATTCGTTCGTTGTTGCTGTTTTTTTTATAAGATAGCGACGCCAGTCGCTTGACTGAAAAAAGTGCGAGTTGCTCTCTCGAAATCGGAACATTCAATCATCAGAGCGGTGTTGACCGTCTGACATCTGGGGAGATCGCAGCGTTTTTGGCAGTTGAATAATCAATATCTTACCTGCTTGACAAGCACTTGCCTGCCACCGCTGGCTGGCAAAACAATCCAAATTATTCATTCGGAAGAGCATGGTTAAATATCTTAATTATAATAGCAGGTGCCGATGCACTAATGACACTTTGACCGTACCGCTGAGTCGGTACTTCATGCCTACATTTAGAAAAATTAATGGGCATAATGTCCGAATAGTGACGCATTTCTTGCATGTAGCACTGATCGCACCTTATGCCCGGCTGAACTGGCTCGGTTGACGGTCACGAGGGCAAAATGGGCATCGTTATTTGGACAATATCTCGCTCATTTCTCTGGGTGTGGATAGAGCAAAAGAGAAGCATGGGTTGTTTCTGTGGCAGTTGTGACTAATAGCAACACATGACTAACTTGCAGTTCGTAATTTATAGACGTAGACGTCGTTGAGATATGATACTGCGCTTTGCGGAGTTAGTCGTTTCTTATATGCTTGATTATCCAGAATTTGTCCGGTAGTAAAAACATTACCAACGGTGGCAGCATTTAGTCAGCATCGTGAAGTTACCGACAAACAAGCAGCGTATAAGCATGCGAAAGCCATTATAAGGTTATACTGGGAGACAAGCGTTGCGAGCTGCTACAGACAATGTGAGCTACACTCCAGCAACAACTGGAGCAACTTTTAAAATCTTCAGAAGAGAAAATTGCTATACATTTATCAATATGAGTATAGTGCATTATAAAAGGAAAATCAGGAGACTCTATTTAACTGTATTTTGAAACTCTGCTGTTCACATTTGTTTTAAACCCAAGTAAACTGTGTGCTATGGACGCTTTAAATATGGCCACAACTCGCTTGCTAAGCAAGATTCACCTGCTCTCCACAATCTTAAATTTAAAACGCTCAGGAAAATTATTGTATTTGACATGATCTTTATTAGTTTATTGATAATTGAACAATCTTTATTACAGCGTGGTACTCCTCTTATTATATATACGATCACATGACTAGATGTAGAGATCCTAGCTGAACATTCAGGAGTACTTCGGGAAACAGAGTGAGAAGAAGAACAAACAAAAGTAACCAACATGCGGAAGGTAGAATTAGGTTAAAGGTGTTGATGATCCTGTAGCAGCGTACGAATTCAGACAACTGCAGAGGTATGCGAAATATTCTAGAGATGTTGAGATGTTCTGTCATTATTTTATATTTCAATATTGTATTTACTCGTATTATCTGTTTGCTGATACTATGTGAGATAGCTATTAGGGAAATTATCCGACTGATTGTAAATTTTATTTTGTTGATGTAGGGAGAAGTCAACCAGGATAGAATTCCACAAGGAGTTATGATCTTAAAAATTCGATGTTCGTGTAAACGGAACTCTATTACTGTGTTGTGTGGATCTATTGTATGTTCTATGATGAGCTCTAAGAACATGAATGAAAATACAGTTCTGTGCCTTGAAATCGTGCTCTAAATCCATGTTCTATTTAACTTTGTTCCAATGTTAGTAATTTAAGTGTTCATTTTCGTTCAATTAAAGTAATTGTGTTAATCATCTTAATTGAAGCTCGGCACGGGAGATCATTACACTACACAGCGTCTAACGCGAGGGCGAGCGGTGGGGGCGTTCCTAGTTGCATTAATGACTGCACTCGAAGTAATGAAAGTGTCATGTTGTCCAAATGGTAGCACACTTTTTTAATCGAAGCACGTAGCCCTGATACGCACTTTTGCCGGGCCAAGATGACCCATGCAGAGGGTAAAAATTGTATCGCAACCTGGACAAAGAATCATTTGTGTGACTGAGCAGCAATTACAGCGCTGCTCACGCTGCACGTAACAACTGAGCAGCAATTACAGCGCTGCACGTAACAACTGAGCAGCGATTACAGCGCTGCACGTAATAACTGAGCAGCAATTACAGCGCTGCACGTAACAACTGAGCAGCAATTACAGCGCTGCACGTAACAACTGAGCAGCAATTACAGCGCTGCACGTAACAACTGAGCAGCAATTGTAGCACACTTAATAACAGTGACTGTTGATTTATAAAGCACAAAAGTGTTAATAATAGCAGCAGCAGTACGTTCCATTACAACAATCACTTAATAAAAACGATGTACCAGACAACACACTTTCGTTGCGCAGCGACTCGAAATAATATGAACAAATGAAGCCAGCTGTCCAACTGCCGACAGGGTCTGGAGGCAGGGTGATAAGATGGTCTTTTTCCAGGCCGAATATTCGACGATTTGGGTCTTTGTAAATTGCGTTGGCGGCAAAAATTTACGATGACCTTAAATTTATTGTATTTTTTAGTGAAAAAAAAAGTCCAAAACTTTCATCGCGAATCAGAAATTTCAAACTGAACGTTAAATGGTGGCCGGTTTTGGCCTTTTTCGGGAGTGGATTTGGCCGTTTTTTCTTGCCCTCATCTGGCAACCCTGGCTTAGGCCGAGAACTGACAGCGAACGAAGAGAACGTGCAGCGGCAGCAGCAAGGCTGCAGAAAGCAAGGGGCTTGCTGCAGTTGCAGCCTTGTTGCAGTTGTCCTCGCTGCAGCAGTTAACTGATGTGTAGCGAGTCCTCATCTCTCTGTCGCCTGCCCAAAGTAAACTCGTCAAGACAATTAGTTCATTTCAAATAATGAAAAATTTGTAGAGAAAAAGCCTCTGTCATCAACAAGCTATTGTCACTCCTAATGTGAATATAAAAAGAAACGAGTAATAATATAAATCAATGAAAAAGAACACCACCAAATTAATATATTTACTCAAAAAACAATGAACTCTTACTGCATTTATTAGTCAGTGATAAGAGTTGCTTTCTTTTCTCAGTCATACCAAAGCTACGTTAATTTAGTGTTTACCGGAAATTACTTTAATAAAAGAAATGTTAATATGCACACTATTTACAAGAAAGTTCAAGTTTTTCGGAGAGACATCAATATCTAGGAGGATATGATGAATTCTATATATTTCAGGTTCGCCGTAAATGCTCACGTATTACTTGAAAATCTCTGCATTTGGGCTTCAATAAGAGCTTATATCCCAGGCGCCGGCCATGTTCGTGACCACAAAAACCTAGAGCGGTATGTAAATAAATGAAAAGTGAGTCTGATCGTCTATAACGGCTTCACTAAATTAAGAAAAGGACTCACTGTTATTACACATGGTCTCGGTGCCGCAGTTCCGCTGGACTTGCCCAGTCTCCATGTCCATTTTCTGAAAAGAAAGAATATTTTCTTCTGAATAAAGAAGAAATAAGAAATAAACAAAAATCGTTGTCGTCAGTTTAGAAGATACCTAGTGCGTATTTTTCGAAGTATAAATGAACGACATCATTATTTTAAAATGCATCAATCAAGGTGCTTATACACGGAGCTAGTTTTAGCTGTTTTTGTAATCCAAATATTGTGATGATCTATTTTTCAGGTGCAATTGCGTCTAAAGCAGTTAAGGTTGTTAATGTGCTGTCAAATAACAGCAATAGTGCCTCAGCAGCCGTAGTGTGCATATTTGAATGTTATGTATTTTTTAGAATACAGAGCATTCTGCTTGGGGCAAGTGCTCCTATAATGTTATGAACCATGACTTGGTCGCAACGACGATGGTTCTATGAACGTTAATAGGTGGTCTTCTAATAACATAACATAACATAGTGATGTCGGCGCTGAAGTGTAGGCCTGATGTGGCCTGTCGCCGATTCTTTTCCTTTTCGTGCCTTGTTCATAGATCTAAACTCGTGTCATTTGACCGGATCTTTTCATGACTGACGATGAATCAAGTCACGAAAAGTTCAAGAATCGGCAACAGGCCATGGGCCTATGTCTTCAACGCCGACACTTCTATTCTATTCTATTCTAAATCTGAACATATATTTTTCCATAGCTTTATCTAGTTCTTGAACGCGTTCAAACTTGGAGCGCCTAATAATGATATTGAACTGTTCCTATAAGCATTCCAAAAGTACGATCTACTGTGAAATGTACGTCACGATAAATATTCCATCGAAAACTATTTGAGAAAGAGTTTTTTTATAACGAGACCTTTTTTAGGTCTCTGACCCACTCTCTGCGATGACTGACAAAGTTTTTCACCTGCTCAGCTGGAGTTGTAACAATGTCAACAATTCATTTATCAAACGTTTCCTCAAATTCGCCATTACCGTCACGTTCCATATTCCACCGAGTGCAGACCTCACTCGACGGCTTGTAATGACGACTGGCACTTGTGGATGTGAAAATACTGTTGAAGAAATACTTTCCTCGTGTACAGGCTTTCAGCCGCCAAAAAAACTTTCAGCGAATACTCGATGCTGATACGTACTAGCCCCGAGTAAAAGCACCTTAAAGGCAGTGCATGAAAATCTAAGCAGATCTACAAGCAAAATAATGCATCGCGACTTTTTTCTTACTCTACATGAAACCAAAGCTATGGTATATGCCTATTTCTGCCTTCAATATGCCTATTTCTGCGTTCAATACGCCCATTTCTGCGTTCAAAATGAAAAACTTTTGAACTTCCTTACAGCAGTCAACGATTTGACCCAGAAAATTGACTTGAGTATCTTTTACAGGACTCTGGAAATATTCGTGCAATCCAGAACTCTGTAATATTTCTTCCGTTGTACACGCGATGATAACAGCCCCCGTATCTTCACTCCGCCGTCCTGACTTAGCTCCTCGTTAACCGCAACACAGGCCTCGCTCTGAATGCGATATGTCGCGACTAGAACGACTTATATACGCAATAAACCACAGACTTCTCTTGGTTCTATATGGCCCACAGCCAAGTCTGGCTTTGAATTTGAAGCCATAAATAAATTATTTCGAGTTTCTAACGAGCGGACAACGAAGATTATGCTTCCGCGGAAGTCATCCAATTTTCATCCTATTGTCAAGTTTCTTAACGGTTACTTCATCTAACTAGATTTAATAATGAAGATCGGTTATCAAACGTGGAATTCAAAGATGTTATTCTGGTATGGTTTATAACACTCCAAGGGAACAATGTATCTCATCTTGAATGAAACAGTTAATGACGCAAAAGAAACTTTACATTTCCGCAATGTGTGGGAGAAATCATCCAGTTCTTTTTTTTGTTTTTTTAGATAGACTAAATGTTCATATTAACAACAGTAGTCAGCAATTTCGATTTTTTTAAGTTTATAAAAATTTAACGACTAAAATATATTAACGTTTTAACCATCGCATGGTTGACTATACATAACAGCCAACACTGAGAATTCAACCACGTCCAGACAATTGATAAAAAAAACTGTACTGACGGTCAAAACTTGCAAGCTATATTCGGCAATTTTTAACCAGAGATTCATTCCTTGTGACAAAGTTTATCGATAATTTTTAGGTTATTCGAAAAATTTTTGTGAAATTAACAACTGTTATGTTTTCGATCTCGAATTCGCTTTGACTATTAAAGTCAGTTCTGCCGTGTGCCAGCGGCGCCCAGTTCTATATTTTCCCCAGAACTTGACTGCGCTGAGAATGTTACGGGTATTAGCCAGCTGAATGATGGATGACCTGACGTTCTCAGCTCCCAAATTACAGAATCCAAGTCATGAGACTGCAACGAAGTCAAATAAAGTCTGCGCAATCAGTGTAGCAGTTCTTGACTCAGATTCAATAATTTGTTTTTCGTGGACTGACTGTCTCTGATTACACTAGCGCGCCATTTTTTTGAGAAAATCTGGGCGATGCGTGCCTTGTTTGAGATTTTTAAAAGAAAATAGGGATAAAAGAGGAATTTCAAGGGAGATGAATTAGTGATAACAACGCGTTTTGAAGAGTGGAATGATAAATAAAAGTAATTTCCTATTGAAAGGAATGATTGATGAACAACGCGACGTCGCCTGATAAACGATCGCCAGAAATGCACTCTTTAGGGGTGGAAACTTTTGATGAAAATTTCCCCTGGAAAAAGAACTGATCTGATTGAACTGATCCTGGAAAAGAACTGACTGGAAAAAGAACTGTGAAACCAACGCATTTTAGGGTAAAAACTGACAAGCAAAGCACTTAAGCATTTGTATCAGGATATAAACTTACGCGATGCTTGGATGTTACGAAAGGTAACAACGACATCAATTGATGTGGAACCCTCTTGATGAGGAATCTTCCCTCACTAATAAATAACTGCAGAACATGCGTAATTGTCTGATCTATTACATTCATCGCGCAATAATAATTTGGAGAATATCATGAGGTTTATGCATATGCATGAAAGTTTTGTTAATGCAGGAGTCACTAACTTTCTAAATAATAACGAAACTAACAATCAGAAGTATAAGTACGGGAATAACTTCTCACCATGCATTTATCCTGCTCGGGTGGGCACGTCCGAGACTGGCTGAGCTCGAACTTCCTGCAGTTGTTGCAAATGTAGCACTTGAGGCCGTCGGTTGTGTGGGGAGCTTGCGCGAGCAGCAGCATCAACAGCAACGCGGCGGTCACGTCTACTCGACGGTGAAGCATGTTAGCGGAGTATTTTAGTTTGTTAGTCGTGGTTAAATAAATAGTGACCTTGAATTGTTACCGCTGCAGTTTTGAGGTTAAAAGTTTAGGATTTTAATAACTGTAGAGAAATGGGAGAATTTCAAGAATTTATTGAAAATGAAAAGGCTTCTTTAAATGAAAATGACATGTGGAACAGCCTCCCTGATAGCATCGTTGACGCTCCGAGTATGAACGCCTTCAAGAACAGACTAGACGAAGCTATGCAGGAGCATATGTTCACTCTTAAAATGCCTAGCGCCTTAATTATGGACCAAGCAATAAGTCCAGCAGCTATCTCAATCAATCGTCAGTTATGGAAAGATCGGGTTCCAAAGGCCGGATCCCTTGTGAATCAAGTCACAAAAAGTACAAGAATCGGCAACAGGCCATGGGCCTATTTCTTCAGAGCCGACACTTCTATTCTATTCTAAATGAACAGTGTGCGCCACTGCCGCGTAGAGAACAAAATATTTCTTATACATGAACGTCATTTCGTTAGGCGTAATCTCTCCTACTCAGTAAGTTCATCTATCAGTGAAACGATCATGAGTAAGTAGTGAAAATTAATCTGTTTATGCTTATTTCCATATACCTTGCATACGGAAACAGATATATTTTTAAATTTTTGCTCAAGTTGATGATTGAGACGCAGACAGATTTTCAACAGATTGATTTTCTATTTAGTTCAAAATTCATTACTGTGGAACCTGGCAATAAAGATTAAAGATTGTATATAATATGCCTAGAGATGCTCAGCAGCAGCCCTCATGTTTGATATAATAAAAATAATAATTTTAACATTAATAATACGGTACCGGTTTTGCGAGAAAGCTACGTCCGTCTACGATATCAATGATAACAGTGAGTAGTGTCGATCAATCAACAGAGTTGAGTGAAATCCATGAACAAAGGTATGTGAAATGTCAAAAGTTTACGAGTAACAGAGATGTTACTTATTGCAGCAACACTGCACAGCAAGTATCCCTGAAGCAAGTCCTGCAAGCGTGGATCCTGGACGTCGCAGGCTTATCTCCGAAATTGAGGGCTCTTTTTGGCCCTGAAACTGTCCTTTTCCAGTCACACAATTCTCACTAAACGCCTCTGATTTTTATGAATAATTTATCCATTCAGAACATTTTGTCCATTCCATGCGAGAATCTATTTTATTCAATCATCAGTTTCATCACCGTTAGCAAGAAAGAAGTTAACGACTACTGCCAAGACGCAGAGAAAACTTCACTACGTCCTTCCCTCGTGTCGCCAGCGCGCAGACTGGGCACTGAGAGCACCCTGAAGCCTCACGATCTTCGCCACCCGCTAACCGCTAACGGCTAACCGAAAACCCAACAATATTGCTACTGCATCTGACAGGCGGCCATAATTTCTCGGCCGAAACTGGAGTCTGGCGCGGACGGGTGAGAGATCGGAGATTTTCTAGAGTTAGTTTTTTTTATAATAATGCTTCAAGTCACAAACGTCTAGTCATTTGTGCGCGTGTTTATACAAATTTGGATTATGCTTATTTCTTTGATAGCTGAAATGCATTCTAAACAAGCAGTTGAGTTCAGAAAACTTTTTATTTGAAATGAATTCATAGAATTTCTGTTAAAAATTTGCTAGAATTCTTAACAGAAATGGGATCTTGTTAAGAATTAGCACCCCAGTATGACCTTGCTAAGAAAACGCACCCTAGTGTCACACACTCAAAATGTGGAATCATATTGGAATAAACAGATGAGCTGGGCGAATAAAATGTTTGGCTACAAAAGAATTTTTTTAAATTCCTATCTTCAAGAATTCCTGTGGATCGCTTCTCAAAAAATGCTTTAGAAAGCTTTATGTGGTCATATTGAGGTTTGGTACTTTGACTAAGATATTTAGCCTATCATTTGGGATTTCATGTTGGGCAATGTTTTTTGCATTCAATAGTAATTCATAACAAAATATTGAAATAGAGCTAATGTGTTTGTATTATTCATTCAAGTAACTTGTTACGAATACGCACCCCAGTAACAAGAAAATATAACAACATTTTCCCCCAGTAACAAGAAATTCTTAACAAGATCCAAAAAATGAATCAGATTGCCGGAGTCAGATTGTTAATGATTCATTATTTGTAGTTTTTAATTGCAGTCATGCAAAAGAACTTCCACAATAATTTCTCAATATTTTGGAGTTATTAGTTACAGTGACGGAAACTAGCTATTGCTAACTTATTATCACACTAATAAAAATGATTCAGGCTTTTATAAGTCAAGTAAAAAACAGATTTAAAAATTAAAAGTATTTTAAGATACAAAACAATGAAATTACTGAATACATCGGCTAGTCGTCATAATAAAAAAGTTTATTTGATTGTAATATTCAATATTATCAAGTGATTTTTATCATCGTTGAAAGTTTTATTTTATTCTTCTCTTAATAAAATTTTTCTGGACTGTCATGGGCAAGAGTGTGCGGTGTGCCGGAAGCGGTTGATGGTCCGCGTCGACACAGCAAAGAGAGTGCGGACGAGGGTGTGGGTGAGAACTACGTCCTGGGGTCTGACGTTCGTCTCATAGACCGTCTTTGTGGTGGTCGACGTACGTGTCCTGTAATAAAGATCACTTGATTGTTTATATCGCATATTTAACAAGAATTCAACAGTAAAATAAATAGCTAGAGAGAAAAATTAAAAAAAAATTAATTTACCATCTATCTACAAGAGAAAACGTTTCGGAGTCCAGTTCCCTCATTAGTTCAAAATCCTAAAACACATGTACAATCAATTAAGATCAGAGGTACAATCAAGTGCTTTGCAAGGTCCGGCAGTCATTCCACTTATTAATATTTTTACTTGCAGTAATAATGTAATGACGTTCGTTTATATATTTATTATTCCATAAAATATTCTGATTCGAGTTTCGTCGGCTGCTTTATGAGCAATTAGTTAATTTGAGAAATAATGATTTAATTAGACTAAGAGAAGTGCATTTCATGGTAATAACGTGATCACGGTAACATTTCCTTGCATGCTTTCGAAATATGTCCTGTATTAGTCTCAAAGCGCGCTGTAAACTTAGTACAAACTGTTGGTGCTCTTACACAGACGTGTTTTATAATTGAGACTCGTTTTAGTGTTTGCAAAAATTGTTTATGACAGATAATAATTTATTAAGGCATCGCAGTTACGGACCAGGTATGTATGTCTATATATGGAATCATAGAGCAAAAGACCTGTATGGAGTATGATGGTTGCACTTAAAAAATGAATACGAGAAATAGTAAGACAGCTAGAGGTGTGCATTCGTAGGGCTGGCTACCCTGAACACACAGTAAACTTTTCACAGGGACATTTTCAGGTAATGAAACGTATTTCATTACCGTATTTCTTATTGTGTTCCGAAAGCTTTAAATTACACGGGTTAAAATATATAAAAAAAATTATTGATAATTAATGTCCTTATTCATTTGTTCATTATATACACTAGAACAAAAAATGCTGCAAGATTCGAGCAGTTCCAAGCAGGAGTTTTTCAATAATAATAGTCTAGTAGCTACTGCAAACTAACGTCAGTCATGAAAAGATCCGGTCAAATGAAACGATATTAGATCTTCTGTGAACAAGGCACGAAAAGATCAAGAATCGGCGACAGGCCACATCAGGCCTACACTTCAGCGCCGACATCGCTATGTTATGTTATGTTATGTTATGTTATGTTATGTTATGTTACGTTATGTTATGTTATGTTAATAGATCTTGCAGCACCCTACCTGCAGACTGCAGACAGAGACGCCATACTCTCCTTCAGCGAGTCCGGCCAGCCGATGGTCGTCGTGGGGAAATTATTCTGTTGAAATCATTGCTGTTTTAATGCTGCAAGTTAATATTTCATATTAAGCCCTCGTTTAAACTTCTGTTTCTTTCAAAGATTAATGGAAAGATTTCTAATTCGCATTTCAGCCTTTAATACTTTAGTTATGAATTTAATCAAATAGTTTCAATCAATCTTGCCCGAAGATTTTAACTTTGATTCGTACATGTACGTAAATTCTTGTACGCATATTTTTCATTTTCGTCCTCACGGTCAAATGTGAGCGTTTCATTCCAGCTCTTTTCTGAACACGTAAATATAAGAGAAGTCGACCGCGACTCACCCAGTCGATGGGTGACTAAAAAAAAGATGGGTGACTCACCCAGGCGGTTCCGAAGTCCAAGTTTCGCCTCCTGAAACCTGCCGCACCGAACGTGCCTATAACTTCGTCCTAAAGCGAAATATTTTTAATGCATGAATCTCATTTTAGTTTTGTTGTGCCTTAATAGATTACATTGTGGATAGAGGTTACAATTTACTCTCTGACAGTATCCAAAGAAATGACAATGTTTATATGTATGTTAGTAATGAGTGCATGCTTACATCTTTAACGACGAGCGTTTTGAAGACAGTGATGGTCGAAACATTGCTACCGCCAGAAGCATTTTTCGTCGTGCTGGATGGGGCGTCGGGGATGCCAACTTCGTTGAAAGTCCATGCAGTTGTCCTCGTCGCAAGCTTAGTCATATTAACGTACGTATCTGAATGAATTATTTTCTTCGATGCGCTGATTTTACTAAGGCGACCAAAGAGAGCTGTGCGATTGTATGTATCGGTGACCGCAGCTTGCTCTCGCAATGCAGGATGTATGCGCTGACGCTCCTCAAAACGGTTGACATGCAATTCCAGCAAATGAGGTACTTCTGAAGCATCAAAAAGATTCATAGTAACTGATGTATTATATTCTTCATACTTAGTAACTGAAGGCAACGGACTAGTTTTGAACGGTCTGGTGCTAGGCACGCTTTCACCATCAATATTGGTTTCAATTTTGCCACTTCCTGGGTTTGATATGGCAGATGTGTTAATTATCAAAGGTTGTAATGCAGGTGTAGGATCCTTACTAACACTCGGATAGAATTCAACTGTAAAAGAGGGTTGAATGGTTGATTCAACACTGCTATTATATTCGTTTTTTAATTTTACATCCCGCAGAACATTTTCTGTGTGGATCATGGAATATTTTGTCGGTTCTGTTGTAATTTTCGCCTTCCACTCATCCGATTTCCTCATGTCTTCTGCTGTGATCGCATCGGCAGACATAACGTCACTTCTAACGCTGTGTTCCGCACTCAATTTCAAATTTGGCGTATTGTCTGAATTATTACTATTATTATTTGCGATAGCGCCAGCAGTTGGCACGAAGTCATGCGCTTCAGAAATATATTTGTCCTTCACAAATTGTTGGTCTCCCTTTAATACTTTGGATCTGAGCAAGCTCTGCGGAAAAAGTATGACGCTCTCTGTTGACGTGAAGGTAATTTTCAAAGTGGAAGAAGGTTTTGTCATATGGTCGGGTAGACTATGTGCAGATTCAGGATTGGAAAAAACCGTGTTTGTAGATGTTTGTGGCGCCGAAAATTTTGTAACTGAATCTATGAGAGAAAAAGTTAATTGAATATTTGGCTCCATTTCATCAAGATTACGACGTTCCTCGTTTATATCATTTCCATCACTTTCAACTGCCTGCATTGGACTTTCTGTTACAGGGTTGGAATTTATTCCTAAAAATTCCTTTGATTCACCGAAATCTGAATTTGGGAAGACAATGCTTGGATTTTCATTGCCCCTCTCGAATGTCTCACCCTTTGAGCTTCCACCATCATCTTGCTTAGAAATGTGCGAGTTGACAGTTGATGAGTGAAGCCCCGACGTAAAATTTTGAACATCATGACTGGCATCTAATGCTTGGTCATCGAATTTGAGATAGGAATCTGATGATGAGGCTTGCTGTGGCTCAAGAGGAAGAGCAGAATCATGAACTGAACCCTGGGTCCCTAGCCCTACATTTTTATCCCCAGCTAGAGAGAAGACATCGTGCACAGGGACCAGTTTTCCATCCACCAAAGTCATGGTCGCGTTCACAACGTCGACTATCGTCCATTTTTCTAAGTTTTCATCATCTACGTTATGAATTTCACGAGCTTCGTCCACATTTAGATTATGTGCTTGCTCTAAATCAGCACCAGTTGCTTCGTCGGGACGAAATGATTCGTTTTGATGCGCCGCTATTTGTTCACGTGTTCCACGCGTCGCAGTCGCGCAGAACAGCACTACTAGGCAAGCGATCTTCATCGTGGCTGAAATAGGAATTCAATAATTTTAACTCGAAAAATTAATATCAAATTTACATGGTATTCTGATTAGATTATGTTAAAAAATTTATAGTTCTTTTATTAGGCACAATTTCCAATAGTGACAGTGGTCAATGATTTATAAACCTTTACTGAAATTTTATCAGCGAATTCCTCAGCACGTCGAAATAACGAAATTGCCAGATGTAGATAAGAGTAATAACTTGTACAACGTTCGTCTTATTACATAATGAATTAACTGAAAATTAATTTACTGTCAGTGAATTAAGCGCCTAATTCTTTGCTGTCATTATGAAGATTTCTGGTCATTGTGTTATACTATCAATGAATTTGGGAATAGTTACACTTTTCATATTATTTAGTAGTAGACTTTTGTTTCACTGATATTTCAGTACTCAAACATTACCGTTTTCTAAGATGAAACAAATAAATTGTAAAATAATCTGAAACAAGGCAGAAAAAATATTTCGACTTCAACAAAACAAGCTAAGTGCTATTCGCACATGCAATAAATGACATTGACTATCAGGGCGATATTCTTGCTTGACACCTAGGAAAGCAGTCGCAGACCAAAAATACTAAACTTTTGTTTAGTAACTATTTGAAATAGGACTTGGTATGGCTACCACAAATCTTCCCATATGCATTTCAGTAGCACAAAGACCACTCACCAAACTGCGGTGTTTTCCCAGCAACGCGTACCTCGCTTGTGCCTTAATCTCACTTCTACTACCTCGTGTCAGAGTTAGGGAACGCACACAGTGAAAGCAGATTGCCAGCGTGCTGGTTACCTGCTCAGGCTGGCGCCTGAAACCATAAAATACAGAAGCCTATTCGTACAGGTTTTCACTGTGTACACTTACATTATCATCCTATGTTCATTCTTGTGGCAGGTTGGAGCAGGTTGCCCGCGCCGGCAAACCTGCTTTCACTCAGTGCGTACCCTTAGGCCTTGTTAACCCGAGAAGAGATCGCACCTGGAGACCTGAAGTCCTTAGTCCTATCGCGTTAGGGAAGGTTAAGGCTAAAGCCTTCGTGTTCACTCGATTCACTTACGATGCACATGTAAGTCATTTATAAAATTCAAAATTTCAGTTGTACAGGAATTCAGGAAATGAGAATTACATTCGAAATGTACGGTAATGAACACTCTTCCGAATTAATAGGAAAATTTTTACGAGTGTGTACAAGTAAAGCTCTTTCTATTTTAATTAGTTTTAACAAAAGTGGTTGTAAGGTATAAGAAATAAAAGATATCATTTAATAATCATGTATTTCATTCAAAGACGCGAAGGCAGCATCGGCGGAGCGCCGGCGGTATCACAATATTACGCAACGCTTTGGAGAAAATAGAGTGGAGGCGAGCAAATTCCATGGTAACTTATATATTAATTAGCAGCTTCTGCAAATAATCGGCCAAATGAATTCATATTTTCTTCGTGAAGATGCGACTAAAATGCTTCCTAATACTTGATTCAGACAGAATGCAACGGCAAATGAAGACGGAAACAGTGATGCATTACAGCAAGATTTTCACGTTATGGCACAGTAAATTCAAATGGTGAAATTCGTAAAATTGCATCTTTTATCAACGAACAGACGAAGTAAATTTCACAAAACAATTCAAGTTTTGGACTGGAAGAAATCCCGATCCGAATCATGCAGGCTCAAAACCAAAGCACAAAGCAGGTCACAGTTGCGAGTTTGTTGCCCTTCCATGAGCAGGAACTGACTGCTTCATTCAAAATAGCAGTAAGTAATAGTATCACAAGTTCAATGCCGTGAGTCTATTATAAAGACAAAATATCAAATCACGCATAAAGCAATTCATCAAATACCGTGGCAAGCTAAAGCAACTGAGAAGAATTAAAGCGTTCCTGCAGCATTAGAACACAGCCCCAAATAATTGATCAAACTTTGCCTTTGAGGTACCGTAGCTCTCAGGCTAATAATATTCAATTCTCCTAAACTTTGAGGAGATTTCAGTAAATAAAGAGGCAAAAAAATTGGGCCTTAGGCCATATTTGACATAAACGATGACTTCCTTTTTACAACACTTCTCTTTAACTTCACTTCTTGTTGTCTGCTACAAAACTTATAATCAATTTAACACACTCATAATTGTTCAATCGATCGGAAATTTTGCATACTTGCGTAAAGTCGGAGACAATGCATGAATCAATTGACCGAATAAATAATTTTGAAAATTTAAATTTTTTTTATAAAAACAAAAAATTACAAATTACTTTTTTTTATATTTGAAAATAAAGTTAGAAATTCATTGTATATGTGTAACATCGGAGACGCTGGATTCTTTAGAAGTGTTGTCTTTAGAAAATAATTTTTAAACGCATATTAATTAACTCAACACGGTCAAAGCCGATGATTACTTTAACAAGAAATAAACAGGCTCAAGTAAAAATCATCATTTTAAATGAACAATGCCCTCATATGACGCTTTTCAAAAGCCCCGGACGTCCGGGCTCGGCCAACAAGCGGTCAGTGCACGGCCCACAAGCGGTCAGGGCACGGCCCACAAGCGGTCCGGGCACGGCCCACGCGTGGTCCGGGCACGGCCCACAAGCGGTCAGGTCACGAGAATTTTGTGGAGCTCGATGGCCAGAAGCTGAATGTCGGGCTGGGCGTCAACTTTATTCCAAGAATATTTTTTGAATATGTATTGAATGGCCAAAAAAGCAACATCATTCAACTGAGAGAAGCTCATCGGTGCGAAGCAAACTGTCGTAAGTCAGGGTACAAGCTTTTTATATATCAAAGAGCCTTCCAATGTAACAACCCAACCTTCATTATAATTGCGATGTTTTATTTAAAATATTACTATTATCTGATATTTAAAATATTATTTTATTATATATTAATATTACAATCATCTTTTATATTAGTCAGAGGTTCAATAGGGACACTGAAAATCGTTCATACATATCGCAGCATTCAGGATAACACTCATGTGACAGAATTCATTACATAATACCTATCTTAGTATTCAAGATAACACATGTTCATACATATCAATACATCATACATCACATCAAACAAACAGGAACCGTGTACAGTTATTCACGTGCCTTTTATTCTGCGCAGCAGCTCCAACAAGACCGTGAGAGCCTCCTTCCTCAGGCTGTAGTACTTTGATATTCCTGTTGAGGCATAATTAGAATTAATACCGATAATTATAAAATTAGTGCTACTGCTAATTACAATTACTACCGATAGTTCTAGGATTACTGCTACTGCTAATTACAATTACTAGCGATATTTATAACATTACTAATACTGCTAATTATAATTAATACCGACAATTATAGGATTACTGCTACTACTAATTACAATTACTAGCGATATTTATAACATTACTACTACTACTGCTACTGCTATATACAATTACTACCGATAGTTCTAAGATTACTGCTACTGCTACTGACAATTACTAGCGACAAGTAGCAGTAGCATCGGTCACCATCAAAGGCAGTAATGATTGCAAGCTGCTCATGAGCACGCTGGATGCATTATCCTTCATCTCATGATGTCAATAGAAACCGTTTTATTAAACAAAGTTATTATATAGCTTACAGCAATTATTCATGTTTTTCGATTTACTTCACTAATATCACGAACTTTAAACAATTTTCATTTGCATTATTTAATCATCTGTAGTGTTCGGGTTAAACTTGATTAAATCAAACAAGTTACACAGGAACGCTCACTACTTTACATTTTCGTTTAGGTTATGTGAGACTACATTCCATTTCCGTACAAGGAAAGTAAAATCACGTACAAAAAGCAATTTCCTGCAGCTTATTTGTCTAAGTCTCTACATGATGCAAGCATTATAACGAAAATTTATGTAACTGAGAAAATGGGGTCTGCCGTTGAGGTCCCTTGAGCCTATTTGGCACAACACCAAAGCCTTTGTTATAACTTCGAGCGACGTGTATGTAAAATGTACCTAGACAATAGTTGAACAGCTATCAACTGCGACCACTACCTACCTAGACAATAGTTGAACAGCTATCAACTGCGACTACTACCTACCTAGACAATAGTTGAACAGCTATAAACTGAGACTACTACCTACCTAGACAATAGTTGAACAGCTATCAACTGCGACCACTACCTACCTAGACAACAGTTGACCAGCTATCAACTGCGACCACTACCTACCTAGACAATAGTTGAAGAGCTTGCACGAGTGCTGCAGGGCGGGGTCAAACTGCGACTCCAGCAAAGGATCAAAGAGTGGAGAGGACCCGCCCTCTGGAGCCTCTTGGTCGCGTTGGTGAGACGCGTCATGTCGCGGGGAGCAGGAGGTGTGCAGCAACAAGTAATGACGCTCCCAGTAGCGGCCCAACGTCGACACGACGCTCAGCTGCGTCGTCCGGGGCACCTTGGAGATGCAGGCACTCAGCAGCTCCACCACGCGAACACTGTAGCGTTCTGCGCAGTTCAAATTATAATTTTATTTGTGCAGTTAAATTCTTTCGTCTCGAATATTCAAGCAGACTTGGGCAGTGTGTCGATATCATTAAAGAAATTTTGCCCATATATCTAGCATTGAATATTTTGGCAAAAGCTGTTACTTAATATAGGTTTGAAAAATAGTAAGAGAAGCTACTACGTGTTCTTCAGCAAAACCAGCATTAAAGAACATCCCACATGTTTAAAGCACTGCCGTACCTTGAGTATCTCGACACGAAGCTACGGGCCAAGCTCTGCCAAGGCTCACGATGAACTCGTCCAAGAGTTGCCACTTGATGCTTTCCTCCTGCTGTTCTGCCGACCGTTCTTCCTCTGTGATCGTTGCAGTACTGCCAGAGCTTGTAACAACCTCAATCGTTTGACTAATTAACGATGAACATATATCGAAAACGACGTCAAACTTATTGATTTCGTACTCTTGAAGCACAATAGTTAGTGCACGTACGGCGTGCTGTTTATACTCTTTCTTCTCTTTGTTTGCTTCCCGCAACAAAGATTTCACGAATTCTTCAATTAGTAATTCTTCACTTTCAGGACTCCTGAGGGACGCAAGAACTGGCTTGGCCTCGACTACTACAGTTGATAAAGCTTTCAACAAATGTTCCTTGCCAGCATAAGTTCTTCCTTGCAGGCATCCCAACAACAGCATCACAAGAGCCTGCGCCTGCTTCTCACTCAACAATGCACCAACTTTAGCAGCGAGTGCAGAAATGGTTCTGCCAGCCTGAGCTTTCATGGTCCAGTTTGGACTTGCGGCGGCTGTTTCACAGACTAGCAAGATCTCGTTCAGATATAACTTCAAACCAGCTTCAGTACCAGGAGTATTATCGCTCCATATTTCCTCCCAAATTTCTGCCCCGGTTGGGTCGTCTCCTACAGTTTTTGAGGCGTGCATAGCCAGGTAGACAAGAGGCAGAGCTAAGGCCGCGTGATCGCGCATTATGTCACCGCTTTGACGATGCATGCTTCGCAGCGCTAAACCGCAACTCAAACGCACACTATCTTCTTCTTTTTCCAGGTACCAACTCTGTAGCTTATTTAAAAGCTTCGCTACACTAGAAGGTTTAGCAATTTTAATTAATGTGCCAATAGCATTCGCAAAAATTCTTCGTACAGTTGAGTTTCTATCATTGAGACCAGTGACAAGCACGTGCAGAATTTTGCTAGCATGTTTCTGGAGGGGCCCAGGGCACGTGTGAGTCAGAGTCTCGATGACGTGAGCAGCAGCGGTTCTGCTCGTAAGTCCCATGGACTTCTTGAGCACATCCAACACTCCAGCAATAACGTCATCCATCACCTTCTCGTCCACGAACTGCAGTACGTAATTTAGAGTATCCATCATTGGCGTCGACCTGGATGCGGCCACCCGTAGCGAATCCACTCTGAAAACAATAGATTAATCATATTTTTTCTATAGTGCTTTGCGTAACATATCAAAGCAATTGTTTTCACTTCTGTTGCATGCCGCACTTTGCTCTGTTGAGTCGAAAATATTAAAAAGATATGTATGAATCGCAAAGTAGTTAGTTTCTGCACGCAGTCTTAACACAAAGCATGAACCATTTATATCTGAAGCCGAAACCTGAACTGATGAATATAGAATGCCAAATGTGAGCATCAACTTGGCACTGGCATCCAACTAACCTGTCACGATCATCCTCCGCGGTGGTGCGCACTGCCGTGTAACTCAAGGCCTTGTGCTCCAATCCCGCGATGGCCTCCAGCAAGGCAGGCACAAGTGTTCCTAAATGCAAGCGAATCATTGCGCCTCCCGACCGGCAAACTTGCACCACGGCGTCCAAGGAGATCGTGCGCACCTCGGCAACGTTGGACGTGATGCCCTCGGTGAGCAGCACAGGCAACACGCACTCCAGCACCCGCTGGCCTTCCTCTCCTCCGCTCTCACAAACCTGAAACAAGACAATGCAATCTACTCTAGATTCATGAGCGTCCTAAATGCCGCATCTCAATATGATGTAAAAACAAATCACACTAACGTAACTCGTTAGGCTTTCCTGCCCCGACTTTCGCAAGTTTGAATTAGGTGAAGAGAATGTCATCTACATCCCTTTTTATGAGCATTGAGCATCTATAATGAAATACTTACCAACAATAACTTAGCTACGTTTAAAATAATGTAGAAAATTTTTTGTATTTATTTTACACCTCCAAGAAAAAATTCAGTTTTGGAATATCATCTAATGTTGAAATTAAAAAAAAAAGTATGCATTTCATGCCCGGCATTGGCCAGAACGGTACGAATAAACCTTTAAATCATTGAATTCTTGGTATAATATTTGTAAGCGTCCCCTTTGCTCAGGCAATCATTTTATTTAGAAATAAAAAGGAGCAAACGTTTGAGTTAACAAACCGAGTTAGTTATAGAGGCGACATTTTTTTAAAGGTATTCTTTTGTATTAACAGCTTAGAAGAAGTTCATGCATCAAAAGCACCTTGATGCAGCTCTTGCTGAGGCTCTCGAGGGTCTTGTTAGCGGCCACACGCACAGACTCTTTGATGTCGTCACGCACTTTGAAGAGCGTCGTCCAGAGGACGGACAGGTGGGCGACGGCGGGCACGACGGAGTGCTGCCTTATCAGGTCCGCTAGGGCGCCGCAGCACGACTCCCGCACCCTCCACAAGGTGCTCGTCAGGTTCGTTAGCAGGTCTTCTAAGATGGCCGAGTAATATTTCTCCGTCTGTACAAGAAATTCGAGCTAATTACTTCACTAGGCTCAAGTTACTATATAAACAAAAATGTTAATATTTCGATAATATAATTTCAGACTTCGATGATTTTTAAAGTCACGTGATTTCAAAAACTGACAAAATTGTTACGCATTTCTTAATGCCTATAATTTTTTGCATCAAAGTAGTATAAATGCAGGTAATCGCGCCTACACACAGTAATAAATATTTCACCAGACAACATGCTCAACAATGCCGTTGATGCTAATCATATTGTCAATTTATAAAATATAACAAACCTTGCAAACAGTTAGCTAAATGATAGAATACTTTCTATGCAATTTTAAACGTATTTTGCACAACTGTAAACTGAGTTACACTACTGTATTTTGCACTACTGTAATATGAGTATGATAATTGATGTCCCTGACAGTTTTGTGTGTGTCAGAGACAAGGCAGCTCCAGATGTGCGCCATGGGCTGCTGTATGCGCGGCGTAGGGTCGTGCTGGTAGCGGAAGAGCTTAGGGACGATCGCCGGCAAGAAAGGTTCTAGCTGCGACCCTGCCTGCTGTGCTAAACTGCCAAACCCAAACGCCGCTCCCTGCACATTGAGTAATTAATACTGCGATACAATGTCATAATAAGAAACGTCTTTCTAACAATCATTGACATTCATTAGAACAAACATTACTTGAAAGCACACTTATTAGCGAAACAGCGATCTCGCCCTAACGAAAATTCTAAATTAAATCCATTGCATTCTATAATCTATATTATCGTTATAATGTACGTAGTTGAATTTACCACAAATCACATAAGTTTCAATTTATTGATAACTGTTACAGTGTTTGAATTATCAAAAGTGCTTCACTGTTACAGTCAAGAAAAGTACAAGAATCGGCGACAGGCCTATACTTCAACGCCGAAGATACCATACTATACTACACACTGAGCCAGAATGCAAAAAATAATAAAGTTTCTATATACAATAAAAAGTTTCAACACACCATATAGGTATTATGCACGATTGTCCTCACCTTGCGAGAGTTCCAGATGGCGTTATGATTAGCGAGGTTCATAAACTTGTAGACGAGGTCAGGTTGGTTGAGGTCTGACGCGAGAGAACAAAGCTCCCGGTATGTGGACAGCTGACCTCCTGAAGGAGCTGCCCCCAGCTCCCCTTCCCTGAAGAGCTTCGTGTTGCCGGTGACGTTAGAGACGCGGCTCTTGCCCTCAGTGAGAGCGTGGACGAGGCCTTCGACCATCGACCGCCGCGTGTCCTCCGAGCAGCACTCGTACACCACACACAGGCCCTTTGAGGCGGCGTCTTGCACCAGCTCTAACAAAAAAAAAAATAAAACAAATAATACGAATCAATTCGGTTCTGATTTACAAAAGCATCAATAGATACATCAATATTCAAGTCGAGCCCACAAAGCCAAGTTACTATGCTATTTTAAAACACTGATAGCAAGTTCTCTCGGCTTGAAACTTTACGCACCGTTTGTATCAGCCAAGAGGTCCATAAAGGCGCTCTGTATGAGGGGAAGGCTGCGTTGGATCTCAGGACACAAGCGGCAGCGCTTCAGCACCGTCAGCAACCAAATGCACGAAGCCTGTAGTGCACGTGAAGCAATTTATTGTCAGTCTTATAACAGTGATCAAACATTTTACATCTACAGCTGGACAATGAACGCGAATTACCTGGCAACGTAGCTAACGCATTTCTCAGCAATCTCAGAACTTTGAGAGAGTACATTAAAAATTAAATGTTTGCTTGTCTATGCAGTGCATTTATTGCTGGACAGTGCATGCAATTTACCTGGTAACACGACTTGTGCATTTTTTAGAGACTTTTGAGAGTTCAATAAAAGCTAAATGCTTGCCTGTCTCACGCTGGGCTTCGTCATAGGCACGTAAACATTAAGGAGCTCATGCAGCAGCCAGGCTAAAGATCCTTCGGTCAAGTTCTCTTCCTCCACAGCAGCAGGAGTTTCGAAGGAGGCAGCGTCGACCTCCATGTTCTCTTCCTTTCTCTCAGTCAGAACATCGGTGGTCACTGCAGCCTATTTTGCGTCATCAAGGAGATAAGCATTACAAAATTTGAGAGTAATTATCGCCACTATCAGTATCCACTACAACTCTTTATTGTCGTCATTTAACAAACAAAAATCTTTTCAATGTATTAATCTAGATACAATTGTGGCAACAATTCACACACACATATTAGTCCGTTACAATGATGATCAATTCCAAGGAAATTAGACCAAAACATAATCAATGAATTATGCAACGAGTGTAAATCTAAATTAAGAAATGAAGGAGACATAGGACAGGTCACTGGCAGCAGACACAGGACAGGTCACTGGCAGCAGACACAGGACAGGCCACTGGCAGCAGACACAGGACAGGCCACTGGCAGGAGACATAGGACAGGCCACTGGAAGGAGACATAGGACAGGCCACTGGCAGCATGCACCTGCAGGACGTTGTCAGGAGCAGCCTGAGGATCAGGTTGTGTCCACAAGTTCAGGGCCGCTGAGGAGGCCGCGCCAAGCGCACAGTCCGCCAACGCTCCGCCAACACTGAAGTGGATCTCCAGCTCATCGCTCTGCCGGGACACAAACCAGACGTGACACTCTATTGCGATATCTTTATGTGGAATAAGCATGGCATTTATCTGATGCAATAATCAAAATATCAATATTTCAGTGAGTGGCAACACTGCAGCTATTGCTACTCGTTACACTGTGGTGTTACAATTACGACGTAGCCACTCTACTGAGTAAATATCAATCAATCAGCTCAATTATTAATTCAACTTTTAACAATGTATTACGTCGAGAGAAACTAAGTTAATTTTCCAGATGTCAGACTTCTTTGAAGGAACTGTAAATGGTCAGATCGTTAAATCCATGAAAGAAGATAAGAAGATACATTTGGTACGATTCAATAAAATAAATAAATTTTAGTCGTACAACTATTTTCCGAAAGTGTGGTTCAAAGCTCCATCCTGATGTGCTGCGACTCATTTGAAAAAGGCCAAGTCAATAAGTTAATTGACGGCATCAATCAAGGCTTCTGTCTCAATCGGACCATGAGTTTAATTCCATTAACTTATTAGCTGTCCCATTATGTTGAACAGAGCACAAATAAACAATATATTAGTTAACAACGAGAGCACCTCATGCGCGAGACGTAACAAGCTCTTGATAATAATTGGCTTGAGAGGAATGTCGGGCTGACCGACGCAGAGATGACCGGCGCATTGGATGGCTTGTTCCCGCACCTGCAATATAAATACAATGCATCAAAAATTCTTAAAATGACATGCATCTCAGCTGGAACTTGTGCTGAACACGCTGTACTTTTCATCATGACGTTTATACTGGTATATTTCAATTAATCATATCTAACTGCTTGTTACACTCATAGTTCATATACGTTCAGTTTTCTCAAACGTATGCGTGTTAAGACGAGACTGTTATTTACTTGCCGTTTTCTCAATGCATATTAATTGCGACTGATTTACACACAAAATCGTCCAAAAGACAAACCTTTGATGGAAGTTTGTTGTTCTCATAAACAGACTTGAGGACTGAGAATAATTCAACCAGATTGCCTTCTCTTCTCTTGTTCGAAGAGGCGGCGGATTTCTTGAGTAAGGTATTGGACGAGGCGGCGGCTGTACTTTGACCGTCCGCTGGTTTCTCTGTTTCCTTGCTATCAGATTTGTCAGAGGACGCACCAGCAGACTCCTGCAAGTCCTGAAGGTCTCCTACTGGCACCGGCAGAGCTGCGAAGCGAGCCACGTCGGCTATGGCGCAGATCAGAGCCGTCTGCAAGCTCCCGTCGTTATTCACAAGATCGATCACTGGAAAATAATTCTGACTAAGATTCACCACCATTGAAAACTTGATGAAAACAATGATTTCAAAGACTTGTTCACCCCTTGTCGGACTGCATAGATGCAATTGCATCTAAACTTGGTGTGATTATTACGTTGTAAAATTATGCAGTGTGACTTGAGTTAAAATGAGATAATTCTCTTTAATCAACATAATAAATACGAACATAATTCTAGATGTACTTCAATACACCCTAAAAAATTCAACGGTAGCATTCAACCCTCTGGACTTCTCTCACCGAGCTGCCGCAGCGTCTGAGCAAAGAAGCTCCACTCGTCCTCGAGAACAACGTCCTCGTCGTTCATGAGACGATGCTGGGCAAATGCCAGGCTGTGGCCAGTAGCGAGGATGCAGCATTGCTGACTGTCCTGTCGCAGTTCCTTGATGTTCTTGATGCTCTGAAGGGCTCGTTCAAACTCTTCCTGCTCCGCTATCTGTTAGCAAACAACGTGTTTATTAGTAAATTAATATATTACCTGAACTGAACATTGCATTACGTTGTAAAATTCTTGTTCTTGTACGTTGTAAAATCTACCACACGACAGAAACTAAACTTGAATGCAGAATCCTATAAATGCATCCTTAATGTTTGGCGTCATTGGAAAACGCGTTTCATTCATAATTATAAGAACTACCCATACATTATTTCACTAATAATTAAAGGTTTAAAAGTAACATAGAACATTAACAGAAACAATAATATTAAAGTTTTCGCAAAACGTTCAATACCAGCACAAAAATACACCACTGAAAAGTCTTCAAATGAAGGTCCCAGTGGTCCCAATACCTAATAAGAAGCATCACAAGGGAATTAAAGTAAAATAAATGAATAAGTATAGAACTCTTGCACTGACTTGTCCCACAACGACGCCGAACAGCTGCGCTGCGACCTGCCCGGCGTGCCCTCCTCTGATGAGACATCGTCGCAGCCAATCCGTTCTGCGATATACAAAAATATCACCATCAGCATGTATTATACGAAGATATCACAATTAGCACGGCACCATACAAGAATATCAACATCAGCATTTACTATACAAAAATTTCACCATCAGCATTTACTATACAAAAATATCACCATCAGCATTTAGTATACAAAAATATTACCATCAGCATTTACTATACAAAAATATTACCATCAGTGTTTACTATACAAAAATATCACCATCAGCATGCCATTTACTATACAAAAATATCACCATCAGCATTTACTATACGAAGATATCACAATTAGCGTTGCACCATACAAGAATATCAGCATCAGCACTTCACCATACAAAACCATCACCATATCCGCTATACAAGAACACTTTAACTGATGCCATAACAGAAAGCTACGAGTCCCACAGACCTAGCGGTGTACTGCTGAGCCAGCAGCTGAGGAGCCACGCATATGAGCCGCACCATCGCCTCTACTCCCACAGCAGACCACGCGTTCGCCACCATCTCGCACAGTCCCAAGTATTGCACGAACGGGTTGCTGCCTGCGGTAAAAAAAATCTATTACCAAACGTGAACTTATTTGTTACAAACAATATTGAAAGAAGACCACGCGTTCGCCACCATCTCGCACAGTCCCAAGTATTGCACGAACGGGTTGCTGCCTGCGGTAAAAAAAATCTATTACCAAACGTGAACTTATTTGTTACAAACAATATTGAAAGAAGACCACGCGTTCGCCACCATCTCGCACAGTCCCAAGTATTGCACGAACGNTCGAGAAATTTAACGCCTGAATGTAATTTGCCTGACCATCTGGCACAAGACTGCAATTTAATATTAAGATAATGAGAAGTTTTCGAGAAATTTAAGGTCTGAAAGTAATTTCATACGCATACCATCTGGCGTGCGTGCAAGTTCCTCCGTAACGAAGCGGCCGACGGCGCAGCAGTCCGGCCACATCAGAGCGCCCTCCCTGAAGAGCGACACGGCAGGCTTGGAGCTGCCTTTACTGCAGTTACTGCCGCTCTCTATAGCCAGGCAGTGTTGCAGGAACATGATAACCTGGCAACATAAGTGTTGCAGGAACATAACGAATGTGAAAATCAAAATATAAAAGAAAGTGATTAAAACCTAATTAACGAGAAGATGACACAAAGAATGAAAAGTTTCAGAGACAAGCTCCAAACCTGTCACAATACAAGTCCATATTATAGTTATAGCCGCTCTCTATGACCGGGCAGTGTTGCAGGAACAAACCAACTTGACAAAATGCATGTAAATATTATTACCTAAGTCACAAACTACTGCAAAAATACTGCCCCAAACGATAACATGTTTTATTTGTTAAAAAATTGAAAAATTATAAAAAGTACTCATAAAAGTACTCTCATCAATCATTCGATGATCTTAGCCAATACATTTATGCACCAAATATCACAATATATACACTGTTAGAAAAATTACCGTTAACGGTATTACCGCCGTTTCAGTGGCCGGTCGGCACGTGAAAAGAAACACCGTGTCGCCACCTTCAAGGCGTAAGGCAGGGGCGTGTTGGCCACATCTCACTAACCTCCTCCATAACCTTCAAGGCGTAAGGCAGGGGCGTGTTGGCCACATCTCTCCAGCGCGTGCGCGGTGTAGCGTTTATCCTCTGCAGGACATAGGCGAGCATGGAGCTGAAGCGCGGGGCTACGTACTGCGCGGCGCCTTCGTCCTTGACGGGGCTGTACAGCTCACGCGTCGCCTCCAGCCTGATGTCGTCTTGGCTGTAATGCACCATCAATAGTAACAGGAAAAATGGATCGGTTTATTACAAGAAATAACATTATGTAACACTGGGATCGTTTGATCATAATAGATAATATTATTCAGAAAATAAATTGCCTCTAAATAATTTATTGTAGTTAAATTTAGACTGGATTTGAAGACGTCATACATACATACATACCTGTCGCCTGTTGCCAGCAGCAAAATGAACCTCGAGGCGAAGTGCGTACGAGAGAAGACAGTAGCGGCGTAGTGCACGGCGGTGCGGCGTAGAGCTGCGTTGTTGTGCTGCACGTGATCACACAGAACAATGCAGAGCTGTTCTTGGCTCTCTGCAGTGAGATGCTTGCACACGGGAGCTACCATGGAGAGAGCTTCTTGGATAGCTAGGAGTACGTCGCCAACCTCGTGAGTGAGTGCGTCCATTAATGTTTGCAAATAATGTAACTGAGATTCATGCGACAGCAACAAATTGGGAAGCTTCAAAGATAATTTTGCCAGGGCCCCATATGCTAAAGAAGTGAGCTTAGCATCACTTTTTTCTTCATCAATGACTTTGACAACGCCAGAGAAAAGCATGCTCCCAACAGGCTTAATTTTTTCAGTAGATGCACTAGAGGAGATGTGATGGAGGAAGCTGATTCCTTGCTGCTTGAGTCTGCTGTTTGTGTGGCTGCCCCAGAGGCATTCACAAAAAACCTTCACTGCCAAAGGAGCATAATTTGTTGCTTCCCTAGACTTGAGGAAACATGGCATCAGCTTCAAACGCATTCTTGTATTAGCGGGGTTCTTGAAGCGGTCCAGTGGACCGCGCTCTATTGGAGTAAGAGTGCCCAAAAAGAGGACGTAGAGTGCAGATATGACTGCACTGCTGTTCCATTCTATGGTCGCGTCAAGACGTCTCTGTAAAGACTCGGCAGCATTGGCAACTGAAAACCTAGGGTCTGAAGACGCAATGATAACAAGAATTGCCATAGAGCTTGCTGGTAATACTTGCGCATCTAGAAACTTTATCACAGTAAGCTTGAGTTTCTCTAACTGGTCAGGCGCTAGAGGAACTCCCCCCTGAGCACGCGTGAAGCTGTAGATTGACATGCCGGCTGGAACGTCCTCTACAGGCAAAGATGCTGTAGAATTAGCGTGATCGCTTCTTTCCATAATAGCAGGTGGATGTGGCAAGGAGGCAGGTGCTGTATTGCTTGGCTCAACATGAGATCCTTGTTGCATTCCTGCTGCGGCCACAGCCGCCTCTTCAGCTTGCTGCACCTCCTCTCGCTGCTTTCGTAGTTCCTGTCTGTGAAGCAACTCGGCTTGCGTCACTGGGCGAGTCCTGGAGCCATATAAGCAATATTAGGTACATTAGATTAGAACAAAGGTGGAAGATTTAACAGCAATCGCCTTGCAGAGGTAACATCTGCTCTTCAACAATATACACTAGAATTAGTCACAAAGACGCTATTCATATTATAAGTCTCTCTTCTTGAGACATACTTGTAACAAAGGACCACAAAATACTAGATTGTATCAGTATGCAGTAGAATTAATATAAAAATAAGATATGATTACAATTGAATAAATGTACTTGAACATTGAGAAGATGCTTTTTTTAAACTTACTTAACAAAATAATCAATTCCAAACAAATAATGAACCCTAATAAGCTTGATTATATGATGAAAATCTTACTTCCTAAACTTATTTTATCCCAGACAAAATAAAATAGTAAGCTGATAGGTCCTAAAACATTTGTCAAGAAAGCTCTTCTAGGACATATTCTGAACTGACCCGTAAGGCAGCAGAAGGATGTCCTGCATGTAGTCTAATAAGAGCTTTGCAGTAGCAGGCTTCTCTTTTAGTTTCATGAGTGGAGAGTCAGGCAGGCAATGAGCAGAGCCTTTGATGTGCCCAAGAACAGGCAGCAGGAGGACCAAAACACTGCATGAACACAATAATAACTGACCAAGAAACCAGTGTGACAAGATACCGTCTATCAGTACATTTTTATATTAAGACTCTTGAAATTGATCTGAAAAAATCATTTTAAAAATCATCTCAGTAACAACTCCATAAAGTAACAAACTTGGAGACAGGAAAAAATAGACCCAAATGATTACGGTATTTACCTTCTTCCCTGCATTATTTACCTGTCTTGTTGATGAGGTGGCTTGCCCTCCAGACTCTCTAATAATTTTGGCAGAAGCTCTACTTGTTTGTTACAATCAAGCCGTGGAAACCCCATCCGAATGTACACAAGAGAAAAATTCTGAAAATAAAGTTTATATACAACTGCCAAATTATATTATTCAATAGTAATCATGTAATAAAAAACATTGAAATTCAAAACGAAGGCAAGGAGTAAACTAGAATTGAATAGCTTTCACATCATGATGACTATATTGTTCTTGAATTAAAACCTCAAACAAATACTCTATCATCCTAAGAATTTCATACTATCAACATTTTTACTCAGAAGATTCAAAACAACCAGCCATTCAAATTTACATCACAAGCAGAGGCCAGCAAGATTTTCAATGGATTGCTCTGCAGAAGGCAACTTATTTTACAATTTAAGCCACTAAAAAGCCACTCCAACATACCACAACAAAAGCAGAAGCGCCTGGAGAACTGAACTGTTCCAAGAGAGCTTCCACTGGCAGTTGAATGTGTTGATGGTCTTTAATGCGGCGATTTATATGCCCAAGCATCTCAACTATCTGTTAACATATTTTCAACTCATTTGTTAATTAGAAGATAAAGATTTATACCTAGATAATAAATTTATGTTTTGTCAAGACTGAACAAACTGCACAATATCTTCACAAACATTATCACTAAGAAAGAATTAAGCATTATATATATACACTTGAAGATTCCACATTGAATGAAATATCTCATAGAATAAAATATTTCAAAATTTCCCTTGCTCATAAACCATGATAGACATAGTATTTTATCAAACATCATATTCTAAGTTAACAAACATTGAATATATTTATTTTAACAGGCAAAGACTATCACTATGCAACATGCTTAACATGGAAAAAGTCTGAAGAACTTATATGTGACTTACAGTTGTGCGGACCATGTCATTCCCAGAGTTGAGTTTGTTTATAACAGGAGCAAGATACTTCACCAATTCTGCCTGCAACTCTTCATCTGTGCCAGCTCCAGTGATCCGATCATAAACCCGTTGCACCAAAGCTGAAAATAATTTTAAAATGTTATTCTAGTAGATCAAAAAATGTGAATCTTTTAGAAATCTCTGGCCATATAAAAAAAATACTAATTTAAACTCTAAATATGGCTCATAAGTGGCGTAGATCAAAAAATGTGAATCTTTTAGAAATCTCTGGCCATATAAAAAAAAATACTAATTTAAACTCTAAATATGGCTCATAAGTGGCTACAAATGTGGCTCTTCAGTCATGTATTTTGATAAATCTGAAATCTTGTTGCTTAATCATGAAATTTGTTTTAAAAACTAGCAGGTTGCATGGGATTGACAATCCCTGAAAGCTCAGATTTATATTTTCCTATATGTTTGATGTCAATTATGCCTCTCAATTATAATGAATAGAATGAGATGCCTGATTGACACCAGACATAAATCCTATTAATAGAAACATTATACTAGGTCATAAACCATTTCATTTTTGAAAATGGTAAAAAAAATTGTATTTACAATTCAATAGAAAATACCAATATTTACAGATTTAAAAATCATTGTATGTTTTATTGGATAGAATTCATATTTTTGAAATGCCTTACTATGCTCCAGGCTACTAAAAGGCTCTTCAACTAAAATATCCTTAATTAAACAACACATTTATACTTACAATGCCAGGCTCAATAAACACAACCCACAAACTTGGTCAAATTTTTATAAGATCAGCAGGGAGATTATTCATCAAGCAGGAATCTGTTATACATGCAGGAATGTTATACTGCAGAATCAATCGTGTGCAACAGCCAACTAGCCAAGGTGGCAGGAATCTAATGATGGCTAGTGTTAACTTGTTAGTTCTTGTTGCGCAATCGGTGGGTAAGGTAGCTACAGCGTATTAACTGCAGATAAAGCTCCCGAACTTACAGATGATAATTGAGTGAAAACTTTATGTGATATATTGTGGTGAGCCTTCTAAAGTTTTAATAATGAAGAAATCACAAGGTTCACAGAATCTAAAGGTTTGAATGCTAAATTGCCAAGTACAGTACTCCATTCCTGTCTCTTATACACATCTAGATNTGTATAAGAGACAGTACCTACATATTGTATAAAGCTTTTAAAACCAGATATGTTAGTGTTCATTCAGCTTTATAATTGATTTGCTTCATTCTTGTATTATTTCTTGCTTATGTTTATGCTCTGCACATGTGTTTGTCCACTTTCTTGCAATGCTCGCTTTTAATTTAAAAAATGTAAATTACACAATAGCGAGTTGTTTTTACTATTTTACTTTAATTGCTTTACTATTTCAATCCTCTAATTTCAATGCTTGCTAGTTTATTACTTCAATACCAATCTGTTTTCAATTTATGTGTTCACCCAATAAGTTGCCATTATTATAATAGTTGCAATAGTGTCTATTTACCGTGGTATACTTTAATCTCTTGAATTACAGCAGTTTTTAACTGTAAATTCATCTTACTTACCAAGATCATTTGGCTGCAACGTAACCATGGTTGTTGGTAGTAACGGACAATTTATGATAAATATGAGACAAATTTAAATTTTATACTTTAGATTGCATAATTATGAAGAGAACCTAAGTTCCAAAGACTTGCTTAGATTCCGGGCAAGTGACAACAAATCTCAGTTTCAGTCTAAATGATTCCCTGAACCAGCTGATGGGATGAATCGGCAAGCTGTTTACAACGGTGATAAAAGCTCAGAGTCATGTTGATCTCGTTATAGGTATTTGCCACGCTTACCTGAAATCATGATATTCATATAATATACATATATGGCTGTCTGTTAAATAGAATAATTAAATATAAAAATTTAGAAACATTCTTAAAAAGGATTTTTTGGAATTTTTCACCATTATTTTGGTGATCCTCTCTCATTCTTTAGTTGCTAATGGTTACTAGTAAGGTGAACTCTATTATATGTTTGGTGATGTATATTAGTTAAATTCAGACAAATTTGAGCTTAACTTCGCAAAACTCACTAAACAATCATAATCTACTTAGATGATTCGACGTCTCAGACAATTTTACGGCCGGACTCGTGGCCGGTCTCCCCAAATTCAGTGAACAAGGAATATCTCTCAAAGTAATGTACGTAGCTCGATGAAATTTGGCACACGTATTCATTAGGACCTAACTAGGTGATGTTTAGCTCGTGAAAATTTTTTAGATTTCGCTTTCATACTCAAGAAATTTCTTCTAAAATACTGAACAGATTTTAACGAAACTTTGTATATGAATACCTAACCACCCAACGGTGCAAATTTAAAAATCAGCCTGAGAAATGCCGGTCGTTTTACCGCATAACTCGCAAACAAAGGTATAATCGAAAAAGTTGTCATGAGCTAAACATCATTACATCACCGTTGGAAGGTTAAGTATTTATAAACAAAGTTTCATTCAAATCTGCTCGGTGGTTTAGAAGAAATTTCTTGTTCACTGCGAATTTAAGCACGTATTGCTGTTTAAGTCATGAATAAGGGTGAAATGGAAAAAATCGGAAACGAAGGCAAAATATAAAAAAATTTACGAGCTAAACATCACCGTTGGATAGTTAGGAATGCATATTCAAAATTTCGTTCAAATCTGTTCAGTACTTAGGAAGAATTGTCACGTAATCCTACGTGACATTTTTCAGTACTTTGGAAGAAATGTCACGTAATCCTACGTGACATTTTTCAGGACTTTGGAAGAAATGTCACGTCACGTTCCGGCACGCATCGCACATTTGAAGGCGAAATTAAAAAAAATTCACGAGCTTATCATCACCGTTCAGTCCTCATGAATACCTGAACCAAGTTTCAACGAGCTACGTCTTTTACTTTGGGAGTTATTCCTAGTTCGCTTAATTTGAGGAGACCGGCCGCTAGTCCGGCCGTAAAATTGTCCGAGACGAGATTTTTCTAATATATTCAGCAGAATTAATCGATGATAGATGATGTCATATCCCACCACTCCACACAATTCTAGGAGCGAACCTCCAGAAGTTCGTGAAAAAGTTAACTTGTGGAGTTAACATTTTTACCTATAAATTTCCAATATTTTTGATTACGGCAGTACAGGTAGGAGGTTGTCGAGTGGTTGTTGTTCGTGGTTGTCGAGTGGTTAGTATCCTGATACCATACCATGATTTAACTATAATAACCGAGTTTTCATGGTTATTTGCCGTAAATAGGTATTTTCATTTTCAAAATAATAATCATACATGTGAAGGCCAGTATCAACGTATGACTAGTAGATTGGATCAATTATATAAAAATATAACTCAGTACTCACTGCAGTGACAGAGAGCGCATTTTCTCGTCGACGAAAACATGAAGTCATGGACAGACATACAGACAGACATGGCGAGCACAATGGTGCATTTTTTTCATAAATGAGAAAATGCGCTAAAAACGGCCGTAAAATTAGCGGAATTAGAAATTGCGTTCGTTAACAAATATTTCAAAGAAATCTAATACGTCACTTGAAAGATATTTCTTTGACATCGTAAATATGAGCCGCATACCTGTTGAACTTGTGAACAGAGTAATGGAAGTCACAAAACCTTAACACAAGCAGAAGGTTCTCGAACCTTCATGTGCGATGTTTAATTAAAATTTGTGCAGGAACTCAAGATAAATATAATGGTTTCTAAAATCGACCGCACGACCGATAGTGGTAGCGGTCAATTGAGCTGAGCAACGACCTGTGGTCGCGCTCGTGAACTAGTTCACAGCATATAGTTACCTCATGTTTAATAGAAACAAGTCACAAATTATTAAGTAACAAAAACCGTAATGAAAATAAACGTTCATTTCACAATTAAGCTAAGAGGTGCCAAGACAGATTTTTGTCAGCACTGCACTTAAATAAATTCGGTTAAATTTGCGATGTACTTCATTCTTTCTTCTAACTACAAGTGTAACAGACGTCGCCTGCAATTTGGCGATGTTAAATAAATCACGGAAGTTCTCCGATGTTCAAGAGAATTAACCACTACTCATGCTAAATATGAATCAAACTTTTTGACAGATTGTCAAATAAGTAAAAGTTGTAAATAAAATAAAGCAAGAATTAGTGGGAGTGAAGTACAACAATAGGTAATTCTACAATATTTTATTTGAAAGAAAAAAAGTCGGGCAGTCGATGATGAACACAGTTCAATAGGCGCAACATTTCTGGTCTATATATCGGTAGCTCAAAAGCAAGAGAAAGTTGGCTACAAGATATTAGATTGTACAAATTTTGAAAGTTGAAGATGAATGAAACTAAATTTCCAGTAATGGTTAATTACAGATACTCATAAGTTAACTTTTACTATAAAAATGGTTTATTTTTTATGAAAGAAATCTAATCAGTAGATGCAATCTTAAGAGAAGTAACGCAATCAAGTACAAAATAAGGCAGGAGCTGAAAGTCTCTCTAGCAAACCAATATAAGAAAAAAGCATTCATTAAAAAAACGATGGCGGTAAAAATCTAACTCCCTGCGCGCGGAATAAGACAAAGATTGCCCGCAGGCATAGTCCAAAACACAGTAAAAATAACATGTAATGTAAATCCTGTAATGTAAATTAAACCTAAAATAACCCAGCAACTTCCGGCAACCAACAATAGGCTTTGAGCAAAAACATAAATCATTTTGCGTAACGCACGTAAATTAGGATATGAAGAGCAGAGAAATTCAAGCGATGCTGCAGTGATGAAATGAAACCTAAGAGATCATTCGTGAATGACGGAAAATAAGGAAGACACGAGAGAAACAGAGAATTTTAAGGTGAATGGCATGGCTATTTACTATATGAGCAAAGGTGTTGATCACGTTTTAAATCTTAGGATAAATGGACAAAATTTACAAATGAGATGCAACACATGGCGATTTATGACTTTTCGGGAAAACACAAGTGAAAGCTTTCGTCTTTGGCAACAAAATAGAAGTATTGTCAGAACTTAACGACACGTAATAACAAACTAGCTCTAGTATTCGACCGTTAGTAGACCTCTAAATACCTAGTATTAACGAGATGTCCGTAATCGCAAAAAAAAATGAAAACTCTTCTATCCAGTGATTTTATTACGCTCGAGATTCCTAAAATCGATGTCATAATGAGATCGGCACAAAGAGCAAGTTTAATATAATGAACGGCAAATAAAGATCTGGAACATATCTCTTGCTCACGCATCAACTTACAATATATTTAACTCCGAATCATACGCTGATCGAGCAACAAAATAAGTGGAACCGAAATAAATAAGCAGAACTTACCACAACGCTTACAACTTACGTAATAAAATAGCCAAGAGATAGAAACTGTAACACAAACAGGCGCCGTGCCAAGACACAGGCACACTTTTGACACAGCCTGACACAGCCTGGAATCTTACCTCAAGTTAAATATTAGTTGAATCAACAAGGAGCATATACGAACTAATCATATTTCTCTCTAAAGCTCGTCAGAAACGGCTGCTGGGTTGGTACGTACGTCTGGATACATATTAAATACAAAATCTCCTGTTCAAAAATATTAGGTACTAATTATGCTCAATGCACTAAGACACAAAACACGGTACCTACTTGCAAAATGAGAAATTCCAGTAGCTTACATGGAACTAAAGAAAGTTGTTTATTATAAAGAATATCGGGCAATAACCTATGAGAAAATTTAATGAAAGATAAGCTCAAACAAATTTTCAGCATGACAAGCAAAATTCATGACAAGCATGAATTTCAGCATGACAAGCTAAGATGTGATTTTATTTTCAATAGAAATATTTATATCCCAAGGAGCCCATGAACGATATCAGTTGGTAGTAGCGTTATTCATTGCCGTGACGTTTTCTTGAACTGGAAAAACTTGCAAATCTCAGCCGCCGATTCCTGCACAAACAGAAAACTTTTACTACATTATGACAGATACTTGTTTATATTCAAAATGAAAGATTGATCCATACTTGTTCTCAGTCATCATGAATCACTGATGACTGAGAACAAGTTAAACTACAAAAAAAAAAAAAATTCCAAACCTATTGAAAATATTCATTGATGAGAATACAGGGGTTAGACAAAATAAGGGAAACACCTGAGAAATGGTCCTCCAAAATTTCTAAATAGTCACGGCTGTTAATTCTTCTATGAAGAGAAATCATTTGTCCCCAGGATTTTTAGGAAATAGTAACCCAGATCATCACAGATCCCCCGCCATGCTTCACGGTTAGGAGGAGGCTGTTGGGATTAAATGACTCATTTGGCTGTCTCCAAACGTAAACTCGGCCAGAGGGTGTAAATAAGCTAAACGATGATTCGTCGAAGAAAATCACATTTTCAACTGCTCGAGTGATTTATAATTGCAGCTCTTCCATAGAATCCAGATCTGTGCAGCTCTCGGCGGACCGTCTTTATGGAAGCTGGGTTCTGTAGGTGTCCATTGAGGCCTGCGGTAATTTTAACAGCCGCGTTCTTTCGATTGTCCCTCACAATTCGATTTAATTAGAAAGATTGAAGATTATGAAGCTTCCAAGCCTCAGTTATCGACGTCTGCGTGGGGACCTCATTGAAGTATACAAGTATACTCATGGTCTATACAAGAACTTCAAACTATCGCCAGTCATGAAAAGATCCGGTCAAATGACACGAGTTTAGATCTATGAACAAGGCACGAAAAGGAAAAGAATCGGCGACAGGCCACATCAGGCCTACATTTCAGCGCCGACATCATTATGTTATGTTATGTTATGTTAATTAGCGACGGTCTCTCTCAGACAACTTCGACTTACGGCCAGACCTGTGCTCTGCTAATGTTTTTCCTTCTCTTTCAAAAACAGTCTTTACTTTTGAGACAGTACTACTAGAACGTCAAGCATTCAGGCGATTTCCGTCACACTAGCACCTGCCATCCGGGCACCAACAATTTGACCTCTTTGAAATTCAGAGAGGTTTGCCATTTATTGGTCAGGTTATAGACACAAAAATTTACCAACAATATCTGTGCAAGGATAAAATACCAATTAGCAGCAACAATAAACAATAAAACATATAAATATGTCACTTTCATTTTTTATAACATGTTCAAAAATTTACAATGTCAAAATATCAGGTGTTTCCCTTATTGTGTCCCTTATTTTTTATTTATATCATAGTTTGGAGCTATCACGTTAACAATAAAATGACACCACATAGAGAACTAACACCTGTAAAATAATCTTACTAAAAGGTATGATTGGTAAGACTTACCAACAATAGCTGGGCTTTGTAACTGACAGAAGCATGCTTTTGAAACAGGTAGAAAATGTAAGTGTACATGACGCGGAGTTGACTGACGTTCGCGTCTGCGGAACCTGAGACAAAGCTTTCGAAAACGGCGTCAAGATGAGAGTAATCGATTACAACACTGCTTTCCTCCCCACGCTCGCTTGCTGAAACTAGAGGAAGGAACATCAAAGTGAGTCAGAGTAAATTATTTCAATACATGCATTTAGCAATTGTCAAGTTAACATTGTTATATGTAATAAAAATAAAACGAAATCGAACCTGTGGTGGCGTCCTGCTCCAGATCCAGCGTGAGATTTCTGGAGGTTGACATTTCTGCAACTGCAGCAGAAATGGAAGCGACTGAAAAAGAAGACGAGTTTTGAATTTTTACATTCAGGAATTTCAGACAATGGAAGCCAGTTACAGTTAATAAATTTCCCACAAAATTAACATGTGGATAATGTAACACGCACATACGTAATCCGGGATGATGCAAGCAAGACTACCGAATATTTCATTAGAAAAGCGTAACCAACGTCAAGAACCAATAAGACTTCTCATTAAAATTCACAATCGGTGTGAATACAGCATCCCAAGGAATTGAGCTAGATGAATATTTTATACACGACAAAGTGTTTTATAGAAGCAGCAACATGGGTAGGTGTTGCTATAGTTCATGTTCGTGAACTCAAGTGAAGTCCAAAGCTAGAACAGGAAGCAACGAAACATGTTCCATTGCATTCAATAGACCATGACAGATTGCAACCACCACAGCGTTGTGATATAATAAACAATACCCAACGCAGAGCGTTGGTTAGCGGCGCCCGTCGTGGTGGAAGATGCGATAGTCGATTGCACAGGGACGGAGGAGGTAGCCTCACTGTCATCGCTCGACAGCTCGGCGTTGTACAGCTGCCTTGCACAAGTGCACGTCCAATGCGCCTGCACGTCCAAAAAGAACAGTTGGGACTCCGTTGTTAAATCATTTCAACATAACCAATATTAATATTGTCAATTCAACTTCAATGCCTACACTAAAAATTCATATGGCGACCAACAATACCACAATTATTATCTTGAATGTCACAATTATAAGCCCGTAAGTAAACCTGAATCATATTATATACATGGACAAATGGCCCATCATATTATATATATCATATTATATATTTATACCTATATGTGGACATAATATATACATCAAAAAATATAAGCTACATATAATTTGATTAAATCGCATATAAGCTACAGCTTATTAAGATTTAATCGAGTTTATGTCAGTAGTACATTCATCACCTATATAATACCCAATGGAATTATTGGGTTTGGTGAGAAAGACTAATTTCAACCAACAATATTTTAAATAGTTTTGAAGGAAAATAAACCTGAATGTGATCTTACCTTAGGTTTGACCATGTGATTGTAGAAGAGCGGTCTGAAGAATTCTTCACGCTCTTTTCGAGTTGGGTTGCTTAACGTTATCACCTCTCCGTAGTGAACGTTGAAAAGCTCCAAGGCCTAGAAATGTAAAATCAATGAATTAGCTAAGTTTCGAAAATAGCACATCCACGCACGCTGACTGAATTTCAAGTAACTAAAAATATGAAGATACTAACTGAGACAAAAGCTCGCGAAATAATGGAGTAAAATGTTCTTCTATTTAGTCTCATACCATAGGAAAACAAAACAAACAAACGTGCAAAAAATAATTAGGGAAATCTCAAGTAAAAGTTCTCACTCTAGGATCCACTTCAGCCAGAGGTCTGTGAGAGGTCGCTAGAAGCAGCACCGGAGTGCCGGGTTTCAAGTCTTCCATAAGTGAAAAGAAGATCGCCCGGACGGACTCGTCTGTTGACTCAACCCAGTCATCAAAATGAGGCATAAAGATTATTGACGGAGGACGCGAACTCGCTTCGTGGAATATCTGTTGACCAAAAACCTTCATGAGATACATAATAAAAACGAGTTTAGATCCTAACTAAGATGGAGTGAACACATCAAGTGGAATATCGATTAAAATTACAAGATTCAAGGAATTGCATCTGAGTATTCCTTTTTATCGAAAATGATAGAGTGAACACTTCAATTCCATTTGTATAAACTGATAACAATACATAATCAATTCCAAATAAATATGCATGCGGCTAGACAACAAGCTCACTAAGTGAGATCAATAAACCTTACCTCCACGACAGCCTTCTCAGGAGTTCGAGAGGAGTATTCATAGAGCGATGTAAAGTTGAGCTTGTGTGCAGGCACGCTATCCATGGCGTGTATGATAGCCGGACCCAAGTCACTGCTCTGCCCGAGATCACCGTTGCCTACCAGCAACAGCCGCGGCCTGTAGAGCACGCGACGATCATCGCTGTAGTTTGGAGTCGGGCCACGTGGGAAACTCTGCGAGGAAAAACTCAAGAGTCATGCCGTTTAAGAGTAAAAAAACTTCCAATTTGGCTTAGAGGTTTTGAAATGTGTAAGTGAATGATATAATAATTACGATATATTATAATGATCACAATAAAGAACAAAATATCACTAAAAAAATTTTCTCCTTGAATCATAAGGGCCAGTCAGTTTCATATTTCGCGATATCGTTGGCAATATCCCTAATTATCAGAAGAAATAAAAGAAAAACAAGTAATTATAATTCAATTTAATTATACTGTTACGAAAAATCCACTGACGTACCTGTTCCAAGTGGAGCAATATTTTTTGCAACGTGGCCTGTAACAAAGGACGAACTTCAGGCTGAAGTGGTTCCCCGATGCTGCCTCGCGATCTCTGGGCGGCGGGGGCGGGCCGCATCGCGATCCTCGCGATGTGGCCCAGAGCGCTGCGGGAGTGATGGAATCGCCCCTGAAGCATCCAATTTGGTACAAAATTACTGGTTGATACAGAATAAAGTTTTTCAATACAGATACTAGAGAAGAAAATGAAAATCACGATATGGGAGTTGAGGGATTAAACATTAATAACGAAATAAACTGTCAAGAAATATTTCGAACTGTCTCACTTAAAAATCACTATACGTTAATATTTTTAAATGATATCCTTAACACTGTCACATGGGAATAGAGGCACATACAAAAAATTATGTTGATTATCATATCGGCCAAATAGATGGTGTACAAAACTTCCAAGACACTATGTTTCGTTTTTTTAAGCTATGGAATGCTGTATTAATCAATTCAATTATACTTGGCATCAAGGTAAAGCAGTTCAGCATAAAAATAGTTTAGAATATAATTTCTAAAAATGAAGTGGCAAACATTTCAGTTTCGAAAACGCCACTTACGACGAAAGAGTTGACATAGAGCTGAAGTTTGACGGTGGACTCGTAGACTTGCGGGTATTGTTTGCGTAGACTGGCAAGGACGGCCTTGCAGCACATACTCTTGAGGTCAGCACTGCAGTACCCCGATGTCTGATCTGCCAGGTTCTTCAGCAGGTAATCGGTTGGTGGAGGTTGCCACAGGCTCGTTTGCAGGGATAACATGTGCTTAAGAGCCTGCAAATGATTTACAATATGATTAGAAACACAAATTTAATAAAAATGAAAAATATTTGCAAAATATTTTCAACATTCAAACGCTAATAAAGCCACCAAAGTGAAAATATTTCGTTATCGAGCCCACTTAACATAGGTGAAATACATAAAAACATGCAAGTACTTTTGTTCAACAAAATAATGTACTCCTGCATTTCCTTCCAAAAATACAGAAATATCTCTTGATTCGAGCACTACCTAATTCGAGAACTTTCAAAAACTGGTGAACGTATATACAACAAATTAGTGCTTTTCTAGTTTGAACATCAACCCATAAATGCAACTTAGCCTTTATTTGAATCCAGTAAAAAAAACTGCCCCCAATTAAACTTTTTTGCAAGTCTAACCGCCCTAAAAGAATGAATTATGTTATACATTTAAGCCCTTCTTTTGACAAACCACACACAATACTAAATTTTTACATTACACGTAATATTAGACTTTATGTACCACAATTTCTCAGACTTACCTGGAGAGACGGCAGAGGGAAGTAGAGTTCACAATCAAACATCCCAGACCCCCTGAGTGCTGGGTTGATAGCCTCGATCCTGTTCGTGGCGCCGATAACCATTATCTCCAGGCCATTCATCCAGACCAGCAACCGTAGCAACGGCAACGTATACACGATGCTCGAGTGTATCTGGTCTTGTCGAGACGATGTTACGGGGGCGAGACCGTCAATATCGTCGAAAAAAATCAACGAAGGACGCAGCTGGTACGCCTGGTAACAAATTGAACGCTGTATAAACACAGTACAAGAAGTTATAAATTCTGAAAATTTCAAAATTATTCTTGAAAATTTGTTCACGTGGAAGAGCTTATAGCTTTTCTATAAGCTATAGCTATAAAAGCTTATAGCTATAGCATAGCTTACTCACAAAAATTGTACACAATTCATGCATATCGTTTGAAAAATTTAATCGTAAAATTTTTCATAATTGATCCAATGTTCTCCAAGTCTTTCTAATTTTGTGACATATCTCCGTTACCAGCCAGAAAAAAAATTCATACTGAAACTGGTGTTTCATCAAGCAAGGGATATTTTGCAGCTAAATCAGAACCAACCTGATCAAAGAGAAGTCGAAGCTGTCTCTCGGACTCGCCCACCCACCCTTTTGGCATAAAGAAAGTAACTTTTCTCTCTCCAAGACTGCATTCGTTTGCGAGAGCTTGGGCCATCAATGTTTTTCCAGTCCCTGAAACATTAGCATAGCAATTAATAAGTATTAAGCAATTCAATTCAAACCGAGATGAGCCTAGCATACTAGCTTAACCAAATAATGAAATCCTATGGAAGACCACCTAAGGGCTGAGATCAAAAAAGAAGCGAAATACGAAGGGTTTCTAATAAATTTTATTGTATAGTCGATGAGCTTCACTTTACAGCTTAGTGGAAAAACTTATAATAATAATAATAAATGATGATGCTGGAACTTTTGTTTGGTGCTGTTCCAATGAGATTTATAAAGATGACTGCCTTAAGAGAACATGCAAATTTCCACAGTCATTGATGATATGGGGCTGCATGTCAGGTAAAGGCACTGGGGAGATGGCTGTCATCACATCTTCAATAAATGCACAAGTTTACGTTGATATTTTGGACCCTTTTCTTATCCCATCAATTGAAAAGATGTTTGGGGATGATGAAATCATTTTTTAAGATGATAATGCATCTTGCCATAGAGCGGAAACTGTGAAAACACTCCCTGAAAAAAGACACATAAGGTCAATGTCATGGCCTGCAAATAGTCCGGATCTTATTCCAATTGAAAATCTTTGGTGGAAGTTGAAGAAAATGGTCCATGACAAGGCTCCAACCTGCAAAGCTGATCTGGCAACAGCAATCAGAGAAAGTTGGAGGCAGATTGATGAAGAGTACTGTTTGTCACTCATTAAGGCCATGCCTCAGAGACTGTAAGCTGTTATAAAAGCCAGAGGTGGTGCAACAAAATACTAGTGATGTGTTGGAGCGTTCTTTTGTTTTCCATGATTCCATAATTTTTTCCTCAGAATTGAGTGATTCCATATTTTTTCCCTCTGCTTGGTCTAAAAAAATAACCGTTACTGACTGCACAATTTTTTTTCTTGATTTCTTATAGTGTTTCTTAAAGCCAGAAAGTTGCCATTTGAAATGACTTTAGTTTTGTGTCATGTCTGTGATCTGTTTTTTTTTTTCTACAAAGTTGAACAACTGAATGAACATCCTCCGAGGCCGGTGATTCCATAATTTTTGCCAGGGGTTGTATATTGATGATGAGAGCTGTGACATTGTTCCTCGAAAGCTCTAGTTTTTCATATCCCAGGATATCCGACACTGGTTTCACGATTTCTTTTGGTGAATTTATCGAGTTTTATCGTAGTTTCCCATGTTTATGGTAAATTAAATCAAAAAGCTACAGTCAAAAGAACAAGAGAGCACTGGCCTATGCGGCATTGATTGATAAGTGCAAAGAAGTTGATCATACAGTCAACAAAGACTTTGTAACGAAGAAAATAAACTCATTATAGAAAAGAATGTGCCACAATGAAGTCGTCACTGCTGTCTGGTGCAGATAGGGATGCTGTATGAGTGTATGTCAACCCTCATTGTGGTATTTTTAAAAAACATTTTCGGGACCACCGCGTACGTTTGCATCGCTTTAACCTAATTATGGTGGCACAAACTGCGATCACTGCAGCGAGCAGCACTGCCTCCGGACGGCAGCCATTAATTGTCGCGAACGCACCAAAAACTGAAGGAAAGTTTGAGCGTGTGGACGCTCTTCAGTCTTCCGTCAAAATCGGTCAAACCTGGCATGACATGCAAGACTGACGATAAGTTTGAGCGTGTGGACGGGGCACAGAAAATCAATAATTATTAAATGGAAATTAGCTTTGAATTAATATTACTTATCATCTGATGGAAGTTTCAATAGAGTAGGAATTAAAAATAAGTCATTAAGCCAATGACACTCACATTTAATTGGTTCAAGGCTAAAACTATTTCTGCTGAACGCATGTTTTCCACAGTGCCTAGACGTTATATGTATAGGTTGTTTAAAAACAATCGACCGAGTTCATAAAATCTCAAGTATATTTTATTAGAGCCAAATGCACGAACAACGAACTGTTGGAAAGAGGAAACTCTCAAATTTTACGTGGTTTCCCGGGATGTTGCAGCTGCTCGCTACCTGGTCAAAATCAATCAAATAAAATATTTTAAATCAACGAATTCGTGACCGGTGGATTGCCTGCATTTTACATAACGATGCATCCTTGCATTTCTGGTCTTCAAGGTCGCTGACTTCAGTGAATGTGATTTTTCTGTAGGTATTTATGTAAGACTTTGTCTTTGTGCCTCCGCTATCGACAACGAAGGATGATGCTCTAAGTCTTAGAGCATCATCCTAAGGAGCCTTATAGGATGATATGATACTAAGAGCCTTAACGCTTAGAGCCTTAATCATCCTAAATTAAGTCTAAGGAATTGCACAGGAGCAGTGAAGTCTGTACCTCAGTCCTCAGGACAAGCCTGCTGGAGTGTTGTTCTAATTTGACAGCCGCTTACAAATGCACGCCGGCACTTGAGAAAATATTTAAAATATTTAAAAGGGTATGGAGAAGCTGCCCAAAAACTTTCCTTCTGCCAAAGAAACAAAGAATTATCTACATTTATTATAGGTAGAAATACTGACATGCCAAAGCAAATGATTCTTTTTGATACATATTGTATATCTAGTGTAATTGTATTAGAGATTAAACATCAATTTTTGAATGCTATTGCTTCTATTGGCAATTCAACTGCTGCCAGACATCACACAGCGGAAATGGCTGCGGGTATTCGTTGAATCAAACTCATTCGATTTCTTTTTATTCTACAAACGTAAATTCTTGGAGCATTCTGTAGTATCTAGTATCTTATGAATCGTAGTATCTTACGAATGAATGAATATTCAGATAATGGTCACCGGATTCATTGCGCATAGCAAAAAGGTTGATTTATTATGAAAACAATTTCAAATTGCGTGCACAGATTCTGTCAGTTCTTGTGTCTTTTCCACAACGTTTTGTGCTGACATTAATCTAGTACCGCAGTTAATTTTCGTCTTTGCAATTATCACGATTCCATAAATTAATTTTCTTTCGATCGTAATAATTCTGGCTCATCAACCCTTTGAACAATCTAAGATAAAAACACTGACGGGGCATATTTTTCACATTAGATGCAATCGTCTTGTTATCTCTTCGTTTATTTGTGTACACTTAAATTGTAGTATAACAACTATAAAGAATTGAAATCTATATTCTATACATTCTAACATAGAGCGTCCGGATAATTAGGGAGAGGGCGCTGCCAATGTCCCCTCCCCTCCACAGAAACACGTCAATAGCACCACAATGTTACACGAAGAAACTCACTAAAATACAACTTGAAGATTTTACAATGACGTTATTGTTGCTTTTTATGTAATAATTAATTAAATAACATTATTCAGATCAGATCAGTTTTTATTGTGTAACTTCTTTTTTAATTTGCGCCGGACTAGCCGAGACATCGGAACTGTTACAAATTTTCTCAAAGCCAGCGCCAGCTGACAACAAGATCCGATTAATAGATTTAGGCAATAAGCTAGTGTTCCTTGTTTGCACATATTGATGTCTTAGCTGCCTTTCTGATTCACAGTGTCACTGAGCCCCATAAGTTCTGAGGCGTCTTGTCTGATATGTGAGCCGACAATGCCGTGGGGGGTTGTTAAGAACTTCCAAAATTTTATATTCACGATAACGCAAAATATTTGTTGAATTATGGTAACGGAGAGGATTGCCAAATATAGCTCATGTTGAAGGATATCTGAAAGAAAATAAATGAGACGGATAAATGGTAGAATTCGCAAATTCAAGGCATTCTATATATATTTCGTAATGGCTATTTAGTTCGACCATGCGCGCAAGCTGTGTCACTTTTGATTACATAAAGAAAACTATATAAAAAATGTCATGAACGCAAAAAATCTGGCAATGTGAATAAAATGTATAACAAAGACCTATTTCCATCAGATACCATCGAGCAATGTGTAACAAAGACCTATATACTTCGGGTAGCCATGATCGGACTTCGCTGATTATTCGCCGCCTTTGGACTTCAGTCATGAAGGGCTAGTCCCTTAGCTTCCCGGCATGATCTCCCGAGCCACGGTCGTGAGCACCCGCCATCTTCTGCCTTCAGTTCCAGCTTCAGCTTCATACGAGACGTAAGTCCGCGGTATCACTTTGTCGTGGGAGTACGTGCCAGACTGTTTCGGAAGCTGACCTAGCATTACTCTTCCCCTTGACCTACTAAAATAAAGGTGCTCTACATATTAAATAGTCTTCTATTTCTATATCTGCGAATATATGAATATCATTTAGTTTTAACTGCCTGCTAGCATGCAGTGTATTTTAAGAGATAGACGGGCTGTGCCCAAAGCTATAGGTTGAATTGATAATTGATGAACAGATATATTATCGATAACAGATTTATTAAAGGATATAACTAGATTCTAATTTTTAATAGATAAAATGATAATTTGAATTAATTATGCTGGAATTCTATCTCATAGACAATAAGATACCTTCCTAGTCTAACGGATATCTCTTAATTGTATTTGCAGCACTGAACGGAACTGCATGGGTTCATTGGCCGCGGGGCGATCACGTCATGAGGTGGTTGGGTTCATATCCGACCATACGCATTCTCCCGGCCCAGTCAGGCTATACCGGCCTATCAATGAGTTGCTTGTGGGATGAACGAAATAAATTTGGCCACAATTAACTGTTTTTCGATGCCATCTTTGACCCCATGCGCTTAGTTTTCGTTAACCTATATACTTAGGGTTCTGAATTGACAAATTTATACGTGATTCGTTATAAGTTGTTCGCCTTTGTTAGAATCAACTTAGAGAATAAAATGGACACAGAATCCTTCACTTGAAGAGGATTTTTGATGGAAATTCTAAAAAGTTACCGACCAAACCTGAAAACGGTGAGATGAATGAATACCATGGTTGAACCATGAATGAATACGCATGGAGACAATCTGACAAAATCGTACGCTTAGCTATTCTGCGTAGAAACGGAGTGGACAATTACTCCGAGTTTTATCCGATTTTCTCCTCTCCGTTCTTACATAATAATTAAGCCAGATAAAATTGACATGAATTGCGGCAAAAATAA